CCCCCAAGTCAATGTTTTCAAATCGGGCATTGATTTGACGGTTGCCTTGCTCACAAATGTTGCCGCTTCGCTAAATATATACGTCGCGATGATCCCGATATTAATATACGCTTTATGAATTCTCAAGCGATCTTCATGTACATATATATGCACATCACATTTGCAAATATCACAGCCAAACGCTATTATTTCTATTTATCTGCAAGTCTAACCTCTCGAGTAGTTTTATGTAGCATCTCAAGTACGCCGAAAGAAAATATCAGTAGCGAGCATAACAAGTGTACTCGCACTTAATGAAAAATCATGCAGATTCTCATCTGCGCACAATTTCTTTTAAAAATAATCGCCTTAACGGCATTGAAAGGCTTTACCACCCGTAAAGTGGTGTCGTGTTAATTTACGCCGGGATATCAATTCGTAAAATACACCGAGAACGTTGTGTTTACGGATTAATTTGTATCAGTCGGTAACCTGAAGTAAAGAAATCTGCCAAACCGTTGCCGCCACAGTAATCTATATATATATGTTATATCTATATGCATATAAATATGCTTCCCCCACTACGTAAGCAATCACACACGTATCGCTTGCGACGTAGCGGAGGCGCGCGCTCTCTATTTCCTCCAGTGAACGGTCTTGCCTGATAGGCCAAGCTCCCTCAGCCAATGGCACGAACCAGTGTCTCTGGAATTTATTCTTTGGTAAATAACATCAGGATGGCGGCGTCGGCGTCAGTGGCGACGGCAGCGGTGAGGTTTCCAAGGCTCCTCTCGGGACCGATGTCGTCGCTCCTGGTAGTATAGCAGCCGAAGTAGCGGCTGTTGTCAGACTGTTGTCGCAGTGTGGCCTACGTGATCGTAGCCCTGTATAAAAAGACAAGACGTGTCCCTGTCGTACCACTTGTTTCGTGGAATAATTCTCAGACGGCTGTTTGCGGTTAGAACGATTCTTGTTTCACTAAAGTTTAATAATCCTTGGATACGATTAGTCGAACGACGCGTTGACAGTGATTGCACTGCCGAACGCGTCACTGGTAAATCAAACTCAAAAGACGTATCGGATGCGTGTTTTACCGCGAGTGTTTTGAAGTTGACAACAGGGGTTGTGCAACGCGACAATTCTGAGACTTAAAGCAGTTAGTACGTGTCCTCTGTGACAGGGTGGAAAGAACTACGTGTTACTTGAGGTTAGAGAGTGAAGACTTTTTTTTATCAATCAGTCAAACTGGATCCAGGCAGGATACGATTGGCCAGGATGTGGCTGAAGGTTCTACGACAAAATATATCACAGCTGGCGCGAAGAGCTAAAGGTAATGCGTTTGTAGAGAATTCACCGAAATGTTGAAATTCCTTGTTTTTTTCTCTCTCTCTCTCTCTCTCTCTCTCTCTCTCTCTCTCTCTCTCTCTCTCTCCCCCAATGGAGGAACTGACTTGGATTTCTTTTATTGGAAACTTTTACACGCCCTCGCGTTTGTGCCGGTGGAATTTGGTTTTTATTTCCCCATTACTTCTGCATGTCGGCGCTCCTGCTAGTAGACAGTACATTTTTCTGGGCATTAAACTTGTTTTTTCGACACCTCTCGAATTACCACGAAATTCTCAAATGTCGCGGTACGTTACGGATACCAGAAGAATTTAGAAATTCTTCATATACACACATACATATATATATATATACACACATATATAAGTAAAATGTGAAATCCCCCGTGTAGCGGTAGTGTATACATTTGTGCACGCGCAATACGTACATACACGTACATATGTGTCACACATCGCGGATACTTGGCGCCAGAGGATTCCCACGTCCACGTAGTTACAGTCTCATTCAAACTATATATGTTTGGAGAGAAACTGAACTATACATATCTACGTAGTCTATATAGCTGTGCTTTATGAGTCATTAACGAAGGACGCTTACCTTTTTGCGGAACAGCACTAGACTTCGTGCGGCTTTTTTAATTCATTTTTTATAGCGCATACTCGTCCGATCCTTCACCCTGCGGCAACGAATACAATTCGTTATTGTTTCTTACGTCTCAAGTAAGAGTAGCAATAAATCATACAAACTGTTATCAAATGCCGACTTGCAACTCTCCGATTATCTATAGAATGAAGAAATACGTCATTTATGCGAGATGTGTCTGACTATATATAGACACAGGAATCAGATGCGTATGTACGTACGTGGCTATTTACGCGTCTCTGATCGCAACTGGCGTAAGGTTAATGCATGCGACAGGCGCACTCGAGTTTATTTACTCTCTTCCCCTATCCTACTTAATACCTGCACTTGGTTTTATTGAGGCATGGCGACGGCGCAGCCTTGTTTGCAATTGCCAGTAAACGACACGTAAACAGGATTTTATCATTACACTCGAAACCGTTTGCTATTGCCAATTGATTTCAATGCGGTGCGCACGGATATAAATAATCTACGTGGGAACTTCGTTCGGAAGCGCAAAGTTTCTCTGCTGTTACGATATACGTACGTCATTGTTACTCAAGAGCACGAGCTCTTTAACGAGGTGCACGGAGAACGTAACCCCGTCGTAATAAAATAACATTAAATTTCTTATCTACAAATACCGTTCGTCGTTGTGGCAACGACACTATTCCACATAAGCATCGTTTCTTATCCTATCAAAAGAGAGCCGTAAAAGTCAGATTTTTTTCTTCGAGACTTAACACCTCGTCATAGCTTTGTACAGGGATAACAGTCTGGCTATATAGTCTAGATGTTGGTATAACGTCAGAAGAAAAATTAATCTATTTGGATACTTTACGTCCGTACGTTTGTAACTTGTATGGTTCGTTGTCGTTGGTGATTATCTTTCCTTTTTTTTTTGCTTTCACCCGGCACGATGTTTATTCAAAATCGGAATAAACACGAAGTTCGGAGTGCGGACCATCGTTCGCGCGATTTTATGGGTAACTCGCTAAAATAGAGCGTCGGGCAAAATGTTGAAACGGATTAGAAATAGATTCGGGAATTGGGATAGACGTGATTTCATTTGTTCATCGATTTCCTTTGTATCTGGATTGCTAATGCCGAGGCCCGGATTAACATTAATTCATTGTCCGGATATACCTTGAAATTTGTTCTTTTCTCGAGAATCGCAGGTCGAACGAGGGTTCGGCTCTTAGGTGGTAATTCTTTTTTCTTGTGACTTGGGGATTCACCGCGTGACGGTAAACGTGACGGGTTGGGAAGGGAGAGCGAGGGAGGAAATAAGATTGAAAGACGGAGGCGAATAGTCGAAAGAGAGGGATCCAAGATAAACAATGTCTAAGGTAGAGATTTACGTAATACAATAATAATATTGTATAACATTAAACGGAATGGTTATTTGTATATTGTTGTTGTATATTGTTAGTTATTTATTATAACATAAATAATGGTATAATAAATTAATATCCGCGCCGAAAGACGGCGCCATAATTCTTCGATAAAGATAACATTGACGCAAAACCTATGCGTCTTGCAGCTTCAAGCATGATTTATGTCATACACACTTTATGTTTAAATTTAATGGCACCTTAGCCGTATAGCAGGCTGCCGATCTTTTCTTAATTACTTGTAAATTGATTGATCGATCGATCGATCGTCGTCGCAAAGCTAGATATTATCATGGAAACCATCGGGTAATACGAGTCCACTTTATTGAGTAAACCCGTGGACTCGCTATTATGCCTCTTTGTTCCTTTTTCTTTTTTTCTTTTCTTATCGCTATAGCGGTTATCGCGATAAACGATATTTCATTTGAAAGCTTTGAAGAGGGATACTTATCAATTGAAATAACCCTGGCAATTAGCGAGATTCGACAAAATGTTGGAGAGCGAGACGGATGGAATTTTTACGTCACATCCGACGAATTGATTTCAGTCCCTCGTGTCAAGTGGCTGGAATTGACTGTACGACGTCAAAGGACACTCCGGGTAGTTTGGTCTTGTGAAAAAAAAAAATTTTTCTTTTTCTCTCTTGGGGTAAAAGAGGTAGAGAAAATAAGGAAAGGAATTTTCTTTAATAGGGAAAAGCCGAGTCGGAAAAGGAAAATGGTAGAGTTTGGTCGTTTTACGTGAAAAAAAGAAAAGGTTTTTTTTTCGCTGGTTTAATCCTTGGTGTGCCGAACAACGATATATTGTTGCTTATGCGATGGCGCCTTACTATTCGTATCGCAAAAAAACTGGCACAAAATAAATTTAGAAAAACTTTAAGGATTTTCCCCTTATTTCGTAATATCTTCCTTTTTTGAATTTTGTAAATATCATTCTTACTTTTTTAAAATGATTTTTCTCTCAAACCTTTCTAAATTACATCTAATTTCTTTGGTTTTCTCACTTAGGTACAATCCATTAGGTCGGCATTAAAAGAGTTAAATATTCGTGGAATTTCTCAATTTTTCGTTCCAACGGAGTTTGCCAAATTACAGCTATTCGTCTCTAGACCGATTCCTTTGACGTGTTCTACGTAGGATAAGGAACGTGTCGAGTCTTTTTCTTATTACCAGGATGATAAAGTATCAGACAACGCTGAACTTTCACATTTCACTAGACAAATACAGCTTGGCCACTTTCTTACGCTGTAAAAGTAAATGACTCCAAGTACCTATTTAATTAAGTCTAAAAGCCTTTCATGGCTACTAGCAAAAGGCGATCATCAGGCATTCAGTCCGTAGTAATTGATTGAACTCAAATGACACGACCTCTGCTGAGGTCTTTGCTGTAGACACAGTCACAATGTAATTCCATAAATCAAATTCGACTCACCTTCAAGAATATCCATTTTCCCAGGATATCTCTCTTTCGCGCACATGTCACGCTTTACGACTAACGACTAACTCGACTAACGTGCACGGTTCAGGAGCATTGGTATAGCTTGCGAAATATAGATATATACACACGAGGATTATTTGCTGTCACTTAATTTCCTTCACCCTGGTGACTACAGGCAGTTATTTCCTGCAGACTTTTTTTAATTCGACTTCCTGTATCACTTCCGGGTATACTGGTTTACACGGCGATGCCGCATACTCTTCTTTTTCCTTGTGCCTTCTCCTTCCGTCCTTCTCTTATTAGCATTTGCATTCTTCTTCATTTCACTCGTCGACCTTCTGCCTTACCCCCCTACTGGATCCAAGGCAAACCTCTTCTGTCTCTCAGGAGAGTGCCATTGTTGGTTCTATCGGGGCTATTCATATTATCGGCACTATGTATATTATCGTTATGTCATTAGTATTGAAATTTCCTGTGAAAGGATCGCAAGACTTCCGCTATTTATATTATGTCTATATATACAAAAGGGAAGATCATCAGCGTTCGGGTAGGCGCATGTTCTTTAAATACGTCCAACCATATTCCGTAATCGATACTGTGAATAATTTAGGGGACATTTAAGAAATTTTTTTTTGACAGACCTGTATATTTATGTATACCACCGATAAACTACCAGTATCTGGGGCAACCGTCGTCGTTATGACTATACGTATACGCATTGTCGTTGACTGTCATGGTGACGCAGACGTCGCAAGACGGGACCTTCGTGCTATCGAAAATAGCTGACAATGACGATAGGATTACCAACAATGTAAAGCTTCGTTTACATCCTATAATACGTGGCGCGATACATGTGGGAAAGCAACACGTGCATGTTCAAGGTACTCGTCGCCAAAGTATATTGCCATAAGAATGGTATTGGACGCTGTATAGGGCCTTACATAAATGCATAAATTATTCAAACGTAGGCGCTCCTCTAGGAACAGTAGCAGTCATAAGCGTCCGATAGTCCGTTCACTAGCGTAATGAATTTTTGACGGGCCATCTTCTTACGACCTTCGATGTTACAGAGTCCCCTTGTACCTTGCACTTCACCGGACTGAGTCAAATATACTCTGGGACGTAAGAACGCGTATGGGTGCCAGTGCTTTTATAAAGCCGCTAAGAAGTTTATAAATTAGACGCACGATTTTCATAATAAACAAAGTTGCGTAATATACGAAGAGCATGTTATGTAAGTGTTGTATGCTTGGCTTCGAATAATTCAAAGGATGGATTCTGGTCGGTGTGACCTAATCGATAAGGGGATTATAGGTCGTCCTCTTGGAGCCTTCTTAATGTAAAGGATGTCTCAAGAATATCTCGTAGTACTCTCGGTGTCACGTATACGTGAGAACTTTATTTTTCAATTGACTTTAATATTATTATTGCGCGCGTCGCTCGATTAATAAAATCGATCAAGCTCTACGGCGCACTGGATGTACCCAGTAGTCTCTGGATCTCGTTTATATCAAGGCGTCCTATTGGCCTTTTCTTCGCGATCCTGTTTACTACGATGCTATATAGTGCCATGTACTTAAGCTATTGTTTTTTATATCCTTACTTACAGGGGCGCATTTCCTATTTATAAATTGGAATCGGTATTGATCGCGTAATGCTGATCCTTGTACGTCTGTCTTTTGCTATTATAAATGCGCGAAGAGGAGGTCACGCCTTCGTTTTTCTGGAAGTCACTATACTTTCTGCGATTGCGAGGGAGAGACGTTTAGTTCAGTGGAAGAGAGACGGCGACAGTGGTGGCACCATAGTCGTATTGTATTGTCACTCTTTGTATTGACACTGTTAAAAGTAATTGTAACATTAATAACAATGGATTTATGGTTTTTTGGATGACACATAAATAGTTACACATGGTATATGCGCGGAGAAACCTTTTTATTTTGTTTGAAAAATTGTCTATGTTCTTTGCTGTCTTAATGTTTACTACGCTGCTGCTACGTTATTTTATATCTATGTGCTTTGCGACATTCTCTTTAACACTTGCAATAAGATATATAGGTTAGTTAAGCGTATTCTAGTACATATACATATATTTGTGGTTTATTCACGTGCTATTGTAATCGCAGTTCATTCTCCTTCTTGCCGCGTGCCAATGAATGGACCCTGATGCCATGCCGTACAGTTATAGCTTTGCCAGAATGTAGAATAAAAGAGAAACAGATGTTTACCTGCACGAGAAGAGTCACGCCGTGGTACTGCAATAACGAGGAATTTACCGATATAGACTTTTAGTATGACGGAGTTCATTTTTTACGAAAAAATTGTATCGACCTATATTTTTCCTGTAAAAATATTTCGTTTCAGTGGCTACTAAATCTTTTTGTTTTTGAGAAAGAAAAACCGTAAAATGGGTTAATGCAGATTTTACGAAATATTTAATTGCCACCGAGCGAGTGATAAGATTACGTGTGTTTGCACGAACGATTCGCGCATTCTTGTACTCTGAATTCTTGTTGGCAAGTTTCTAACCGTAAAAACGCAAGGGGACTATTAGTTTTTTATAAAAATTACGGAAAATTCACATTTTTCTGACGAAACACTTGTGTTGGAATAAATTTAGATTTTATACGTGAATTTATTCTCATGAAGTTTTCTCATACGCCTGAAGTAGCTAATTTAGTTTAAATTACCATACCATTTGCTAATCGTGCTCTAATATTTATGTTACAGGTAGCGCGTCGATCGAGCATAAAAATGGCAATGGAAATGGAAACAGCAATAACAATGCTAATGGTAATGGTACAAAAACGAACAATAACGTCGCTGACGTGAATCGAAATGAAGATCAAAGCGGACCGATTGATCCTAAGTCGCAAGCAAAGAAGAAGCCAAACGCACGGCGAAGAGGACCTCTATTAGTACAAGAGTACGTTTCAATGATTTTCAATGATTACAATAATTTTCAGAAGTAAGGTACTCTTGCTCTATGTTACGGGACTGACCCATTTGTTATTTTTCTTTACAGAGACGTATCCTCGAGCCAGTTGGACTTCTTCAAGATGCTCGACGAGAAGATTGAGAACGTAAGTGCTGCGTCGTTTACTAAACAACTATTCAACTGACCAAAATAGAATATTACTATCGAGTTTTCTATAACACCAGGAGATGGAATTTTCTATGTATTCTTTCTATTTCATTTTGCAGGGTCCGGACTACGATGAGACCCTGGATGCGGCTGCGACTGCAGAAAGAGTATCGAGCCTACTTCGTCGTTGGGAATTAGCCAGTGTAAACTGGTCCAGCGTGATCGATTTAAATACGTCGCCATCGAATCTGAAGAGTCGCTCACCTGTTCTAAGTACTTCGCGTCAGAGCTTAAGCGCCAAGGATCGCGAGGGCATGCGTAACATAATAGGCGGCCGGCCAGAGAGTGCGCCAGTCTTCGTAAGGAATGCAAATCGTGTCGATGGCCTGCAGGAGACTCACTGTCCATCGCCAAATATGCCTAAACACGTTCTCGAGTCGATTACTCAGAGTCCTACCCAGAGCCTGAAGAACACACCACCAGGAATGTCACCTAACAGTATTCGCTGTCAGGAGTTCAGAGAGTATAAGGAGTACAAGGAGTACAAGGAGAGCAAGGGCGGTGGTGGTGGTGCTGGCGGTGGCGGTGGTGGTGGAAAATATCAGAGCAGTCAGTTAAACGGGGAATTTATGAGTCAGCAAGCTCTCTATCGGGAGCAGTACCTTCAACAGACAGGAATAGTCACCATTCCTGCACAGTACTCTGCGGGATCACCTGGTGGCAATGTACTACGGAACAATCCTTACGTCCAACAGTTTCAGATCCCCAGCCCTCAACACTTCCCGACGCCCAGGAAACGACCGTTCAACGCTGCCCAGATGACGTGACCGGGATCGGCCGCCATGACGAGATAAGACTGATGAAACAAAAAACGCTAGGAAGTCGAGGACTTGAAATACGCCAAATGTCGTAATAGAGGAGGGCATTTTAATCGCGAATGGTGGATATGTCTTGAATGCATACATGCTTATGTACATACATACATACATAAAGTGAAACATACTATACATACATACATACATACACACACAGGTTTTATTCAAAATTTTTATGAATTCTTATCGGGGATACTTGTACACGCATGCATACACTTTTACGTACAATCACGCAGACACATCATTTGCGAAAATGATTTATCCTGATTCTCGAGACTCCAAATATTCTTCACCGGGACTGCAGGCCTGTTCTCGGGGATGTTTTTTAATTGTGAGATTACTGGATGATCTACAGAGCTAGGCCTAAAATACGAAGCATCAGAAATAATAAGAAAAACGAAACTCTTGCTTGATGCCGACGATTCTCTGGACATCGCGCCTAGACTAGGATACTTGTTATAAGTGCCAAAAAAAAAGAAATGAAAAATACAAAGATAACTTTCTGTACGCGAGCAATTTAAATGTCTTGATATGACTGCGCTTAACAGCTTCGAACGATGATGAACTTTCAGAGAGGCCAATACCTACCCCACGAAACACTTAGTGTTTCGAAGATCCTGTGGGGGAAGAAAAGTTATGTACCTTTGCCATTCGCATGTCAACGCGGTACTTTTTTTTCTTCTTAATTCCTCAAGGTCAAGAAACAAACTGTGAAGAGAATTCAGATCCTGCGTTCACACACCGATGTTGCGACGCAAGGTTCTCTTTTGTATAAATGTATTAGAAAAGAAGAAAGAAGAGTCTATATATATTATATATACATATAAATATATAAATATGTGTGTGTACGAGCGAGAAAAATCAGATTTAGAAATTTCTAATTGTATCGTGTATAGAATCACTGTATTGTACACTACACTATCTATTATATACACCTAACTTAACGTGATGACTGTATATTTCTATGTTGACCATGTTTAAACTACCGATATACATATTATATATACATATATAGTTGATGATGAAGAAAATTTTATATTTCATGTTATTATGCAAGCTATATATATATATACACATAATATCCATGGAATCGGTAACTCGCTTTACTTATTCATATACACTGTCCTCTGGAAATTTCCACGTTCGTTTCACTTTTCCATTGATCAATTGCTCTGTTTCCTTTTTCTCTTTCTTTACTCTTTCTTTTTACACAAAATAAATAAATCCATCTCTCTGCAAATACGAGTACGTGCTCAATGATTAGCAATTCCTATTATCTTTTTTTTAATCATATTTTTTGTTCTGTAGATTTAACAGACTGACCAGATTATGACACCGGCTTACGGTTTGACGTCGTTAAATACAATTGATCATCGACCAAGACGGGTGGCAAGCAGGCTGCTTGTCGACATCCGATTTAAAAATTCACTAACAAGATCCGGTTCGCCAGAACCCTTATGATACTGATGTAATCGCATTTATATCGGACATGCGTTTATGTATACGCGTCGATGTTCTAACTCTTGTTAGAACTAACTATAAAATCAGAGCCTCTGAAATCTTCCAAATGTTATTTTCGAATGGATTAGACAGATTACTGGTTTGCTTTTTCTTTCGTAAAAAAAGTAAGTTAAAGGCACGATCTGATCTCGTTCCATGTTTTAATTTTCTGAATTAATAATCTATGCGATTTTGATAGTTTACTTAATAATATTTTTCCTAATCAAATTGTTTTATATTTTGGGAAGATTAGGTTAATTTTTTTATCAACAACGATGATTGACTTTTATTTAATTATCCTTTCTTGATTAATATATTTGTGAAGGAGCCTGTACAATTTTGAATTTTTAAGTTGAAGCGTGGCGCACGTGGGAATGAAACAGCGACATCTATATTCTGTTTAGGGCAAAATGGCTGCTCCTGTCAAACACAGGTCGAAGTGACAGAAGGATTTGTCGAAAAAATAGTTTACATAATAACGCAACCTGCAAGGTTAGTTACGCCCACGTAATTTTTATATAAATCTACTATCCTTAAGATTTTATTCTTTCGAAAGGTATGTGAGTTTCGCTCGTGTTTCTGGGCGTGGCACTGATACGCTTATTTGTTTCAACGTTTACAGGTCATCCTCCTACATTTATGTTGAACTTTGTACGTTTTGATAAATTTCTGAAGTTCTAGAACACAGTTTCGTTGGTTTTACTATTGGTTTTTGCTAACTATTATATATTTACTTTACACATTAGTTAGAATTTGAGTTGATACACTGACTGAGGTTAACTCATGTAAACAGCCTATGCTCATCTTTACTTAGATGACTTACGGATGACTGTACCTTTTGTTAGAACTTCTATTTATACGTTGTATATGACTGTGTGTTTCTTTTAAGATTTGCATACTGTATTGTTTTACTATGTAAGCAAATGTGCATTAACGTGATCAGAATATATATTGGTTTTAAATATTATATCTGTTTCATTGTAGAGCAACTCATGAAGAAATTATTGTTATAAAGAGTTTATTATTTCCAACGAACATGAGCTCTGAAACTGATATAAAATTTGCAGAAGAACATTCCAATCATATACGAGATGAAGAACTGTTATATTTTCCACAGAAACATATTTCAAATATTCCAGAGCATTCAATCGATATAGAACCTATCAATAAATACTCAAAATCATTATCCAATCCAGTGTCATCTGCCCATGTAGACTTGGAAGATGCTTTACATGTAATCCAGACTGCTCGAGCATATTGATTAAACCAATGATTAAGTAATAATGATGAATTTGGGCCTGGTGCTATTTTCAGCTTTTAGACACAATTTGTACAGTGAGATTAGTAGATGATCTCACTACAGACGATGCGACTACAGCAGGAATAGGGAGACCGGAACCCACAGCAACAATCAGTATGGAGAAAAGAGGAAGTGCAGAGCTTTTAAATGCTGAGCAAAATAATTCAAAAAATGCAAGCTCAGACTCACTCAATTCGGATAGTAAAAGCAGTTCACTCAACTCGAAGATGGGTCAAGAATCGGTAATGACAATGTCACTGTCAATTATTTGATAATCAATTGAAAAGAACTGAAGAGTAATTCAGATAATATGCTATTAGAGCATTATTTAAAAATAAAAACGTATTTTCCGTGATGCTCACGCTTTCTTCAGGAGAGTTGGGAGAAGGCATCACATTCCAAGAGCTTTTCGACAAGCTCGACATCAACTGATAATAATATTGTTTCTGCTTTAGAAGCAAAAAAAGAAAATCAAGGAAAAGTGAGTCCATTGTTCGGTAGACTCTAGTCCTTCTTGACAAACCATATTATTATTATTATTCTTTATTAGAAATTTCAAAACTCTTCATATAAATTTCTATTAATTTCATCAATCTGAATAGTGTAATAAGAAGTATACGTATAGCACATTATATTGTTTGTATTATACCGATTTACTTTTGCTTTAGTTACTGTTCTTGTGCGTGCACTTAAGTTTGCATCGCATGTCATAGGTATACCTTTTCTTGTATGAATGCTGGTAATAATCATGATATTGTATGTTTAGTTATTCATGCGTTATCATTACTATTAATTGACTAGTATCGTTGCATTCATTTTTCCCTATGAAAACATATATTTCTTTTGAGTAGAACTTGTCTGGTAGTGACACGGGGCCACCGCTTCTGAATGGCGAAAGAGTTCAAGGGGTAGCACGAGAAGTGACGTATTTATGCCCTTATTCGGGACCAGCACGAGGAGTTTTAAGTGTAACAAATTACAAGCTTCACTTCCGGAGTATAGATCGCGAGACGCCATACGTTGTTGAGGTTCCTCTAGGCGTCGTGAGCAGAATCGAAAAAGTCGGAGGCGCTTCGAGCAGAGGAGAAAATTCTTATGGCATAGAAGTCTTCTGCAAGGATATGAGAAACCTGAAATTCGCGCACAAGCAGGAAAATCATTCCAGAAGAAATGTCTTCGAGAAATTGCAGCAATATTCGTTTCCGCTTTCGCACAAGCTGCCATTGTTTGCTTTCGAATATTCTGAAACGTTTCCTGAAAACGGATGGAATGTATATGAACCAATTGCTGAACTAAAGCGTATGGTGAGAGATTGTAACATTATAAATCAGTAATCATTATACCATTAGTATTAAACTGTAATTGAGCAAAATATATGTATGTTTTAGGGCGTTAACAACGATATGTGGAAAATCTCTAAGATTAATGACTCATACACATTGTGCGACAGTTATCCTGCGGTATGGGCAGTTCCTGCTGCAGCAACGGACGAGGACCTTCAAGCGTCGGCAGCATTTCGAAGTAGAGGTAGATTGCCAGTGCTCTCTTGGATCCATCCAGAGAGTCAAGCTACGATAACACGTTGTGCACAACCATTAGTCGGTGTCGGCGCCAAACGTAGCAAAGAAGACGAACGATATGTTCAATTAATAATGGACGCAAATGCTCAGAGTCACAAACTCTTCATAATGGACGCGCGGCCTATGGCAAATGCGGTAGCAAATAAAGCCAAGGGTGGCGGGTATGAAAATGAGGATGCCTATCAAAACGCGGAACTTGTCTTTCTGGACATTCATAATATTCATGTAATGCGTGAGAGTTTACGTAAGCTCAAGGAATTGTGCTTTCCAACAATCGACGAGACAAGATGGCTTTCGGGTATTGAATCTACCGTTTGGCTTAAGCACATCAAGTGTATACTAGCAGGCGCCGCGAAAATTGTTGATAAAGTTGAGAATCATAAGACTTCTGTACTCGTGCATTGTTCTGATGGATGGGATAGGACTGTTCAGCTTACGGCACTTGCTATGCTCATGCTGGATCCTTATTATAGAACTATCAAAGGTTTTGAAGTGCTCATAGAGAAAGAGTGGCTTAGTTTTGGGCATAAATTTCAGCAGGTAAATATTGACAGTTCCTTTTTTTTAATAGCTAGGTACAATTTATGGAAAAATCAACTATTCTTTTACTTTGTGCTTTATTGTAATAGATATTTTATTTTTTTATTTTAGATATTTCTTACTTCTTGTAGTAGTATTAGTAGTTTTTATTTCAAAGTACGGCTTCTATCGCTTTTTACTGTCCTTCCCTTACAATTTTTACATTATTCCCCACGCTTACTCTAGTTTAAGATTAACTTTATCGTATAACCCTTTATTATTAACTCACTATTAACATTTATCTTCAACAATTTATTTTACAAGTTTATTTTAATATTTTTCAGAGAATTGGTCATGGCGATGAACATCACAGTGATGCTGATAGATCACCGGTTTTTGTTCAATTTATGGACTGCGTCTGGCAGATCAGTCAACAATTTCCAAATGCTTTTCAATTTAATGAACACTTTCTTATTACTATACTGGATCATCTTTATTCCTGTCGTTTTGGCACTTTCCTCTTTAGCAGGTAAGTTATGCTCTTAGTCAGTGGTGCAATGTTACGTTTACATTTTACATTTGTATATCATTAACCGTTGTAATATTATGTAATAATTAATAATGCGTATTGTTATCTAATTGATGCACTCTTAATCTATAGTGATCGTGAACGAGTTCAAGAACAAGTAAAACAGAGAACGGTGTCTTTATGGTCTTATACAAATAGTCAATTGTCCTTGTACCAAAATTCTCTTTATTGGGCTGGTCCACATTATCAATTGGTATTAATGCCAACTGCCAGTATGAGATATATAAAACCGTGGAAAAGTCTTTACTGCCGGTGGAATCCCAGTATGCGACAGCAGGTAATTCAAAATAAATATTAATATGTAATTGGATTTGATTAATTGGAATATCAATATATAAATATACTAAAATATTCCATTCATATCCAAAGAGTCGTGAATGATTTTCACATGGTAAGACACCTATTTTCAGAAGTTTCTAATATATCTTGTTTGGCTTACTTTGCCAACAGGATCCCGTTTACCAACGAACAAGGGAACTTCTAGTCCAAAAGGAACAGCTTGAAAAACAAGTGATGGAATGTCGTCGCGAGCAAGCTTCGAGAGCCAACAGATCATTAACGTCACCTGCACCCCCTAGGTTACATTCCCCAGTTCACTCATAGCCCCCAGACTGAGTGAGTCTGTATAATGATCTGTAGTTCTTTTTATTTTATTATATATTTTTTTCTTGTAAATGAGCTACTACGCTTAAGATTCCGTTAAGCCGACCGACCTGTACACAAAATAGCTTTGACTGAATCAAGCTTTGCCGTGTATAAAGCGCTTGTTGATAATAATAAAAAAGAAAAGGGAGAAATAAACTACCTTGGTTCTTTATTATACATATACATATACACTCATATATATATATATATATATATATATTAATATATATATATACTAATCGGTGCATGAATTCAATGTGTTTTTTGACAGTTTGCTAAGAATGCAAATCCTTAATAAATGACACGTGAGTTTCTATAAAAATCTGGAAATATATGTTATAATAAAAAAATAAAATATAATTAATTATGTAACCAGGCTCATGCATACTTTGTAAGAAAAATTCTATACAGAGTTATGTGTAGCTTACTAGAACTTCATTGTTTTCAATCTGTTAAAAAACTAGATCGAACTCGTGGACCGAGTATATATTGCTATAACATACTTTATTTATATCAAAATATAAACATCATACGACTAAGTTTTATGTCAATCTGCTCAACATGTGTAAAAATCAATCAATCTTTTGATATACTTTTTAAGTCTTTTAACAATAACTTATTAGCGTACTACATAGTCGTTTTTATTTTAAAAGCTACATCAAACTGCTTATTGAATACTGCTCTTTTTCTTTCATCGCGTTATGTCATATAATTTTTAATTAAATTTTTCTCTGAAAACGCTCTGTCAAAAGTTTCATTAATAAAATATTTGGTGTTTCTATCATGAGTGATAGAACGTACGAGCAGATAAACGTGAGAACACAATTTCCCAGGAACAGAGTGCACTGTAAAGACAAAGAAATTTAAATATATTTGCTGTCAGGCGGGCTCTTTTCTAGCAAAAAAAAATTTAATAAAGCCTCAATGTGGATGCTCACGTTTTGTAATAGGTGAACATGAACCGGAGACTCACTGTTTAGATAAATGGAATTTATTAGTAGAGGATTAAGCAGATATGCACAGTACGTCAGTCTGCTGAATGGTACCCATCCAGGAAACGAAAGTATACTGTTAATAATTCCTGTTTAATATAGAAAAAAAAGTAGCATTTTAAACATTAAATTACCTATTCAATTATTGATATATCTGTTAATATTTGATTGTGCTGTTGTCATTATTATTAATTATATTTATTTATATACACAGTACCTCCGTGTTTTGTGCAGCAGGCTATCAATATCCACGCTAAACCGATAGCCCAAACTGTTCTACCAAGTGCTACGTAAATGGCTGCCGCTATGGTAGATATTTGCCTGTTCCAAAGGCCGAAGAGTACTAAGATATTACAGGCACTGCTTATACACCAGCATACCATCAATGTTCTCTAAAAGTCAAGTTTAAGTAATTCTTAGAGTATGATTGACGTATACACGCGCAAAGGAAAGTCGTCACCGGTGTGAACGATGCATATTTGCATCATTTTAAACATTCTATTCTTCTTATGAAGGTACGATTATCATCATAAATCCAGCTGATTTGAAATTTCGATATCTTCCTGGCAGGTATATAATCTTGGTGACTACAAAGTTTCTAAAAAATGGACCCATCCTGTTTCTCAGATATACGCAGCGAAAATAACGTAAATTTAACAATACATATATACTTGTTTACGTTAATTTGACGTCATCTATTTTGGCTTCTGAACGATAAAATTCTCTGAATATTATATGGGAGAATTATTGGACAACTAAAACTCAATATCATTGTTTTTTTAATGAAGACAGTTTGAATTATTTCTTTCAATGTATTACGATAATAATTTAAACAGTATATAGGATGAGAATTAAAAATGTTTACGTCGTCGACTTGGCTCAATGATAATATGTTATTTAACAAATACTTTTGAGAATGACATTATACTGTTTATTTGCAAAAAGAAAAATCCACTATTGTATATAGGAAATAGTCGTACCTCCTGAAGAAAAATGTATGTCTACCATAAAAACGTTATTAAAATTCAATTAATTCTTTATGCAACATATTTTTACCACATTTTTGTCAGTTTAGCTTCACAGTGACATTGTTAAAATTGTCATGCTTCAAACACGGTTAATTAGATAATTATCTAATTGAGAATTTTTTTAATAAATAACATATCGTCCCGTACCTTGCGTATTGTCAACTGATTGTTTAATTTTATCAGAATGAAGGCCGTTACAGTTCCCACTATATAAGGTCCAATTCTTGTCCATGGTGGATAATACAATTGATCCAGCATATTGTATTGCTCGTCCATTCTAAAGTTTGAGGAAAAAAAGACATGAGCATAAAAGTAAAACAGACTTGTGTTTTAACTCAAATACTAATGGTTCAAAGTTTTAAAACAATTAATTCTAGGGAAAACCCAAGTGGACTTAGTATATTATTAAATACTATTAGCTGAACTTTGTTGGTTTTATATGTTGACATTTATGTTGTATAATTGTTACATAAAAACCGTGGAGCCTCTCACTTAGTATTTCCACGTAGGAATTACGTCATAAGAAAGACAAAGGTTCATAAGTCAATATTCGGGGATATCCTGATACTTACGTTGGTACGTATTCATTAATATAAGATATAAATCCAGTTAGTAATGTCGAACTAGTCATCACTATAGCCAATATTGTAACGGACGTGTAAAAGTACCTGTAATGCAAATTCAATGTATATTTTAAAATAAAAAACTTAAAACGTGATGCATCAATAGCTATGTGCTTCTCCTTGTATTACGGGAAATACCGACACTGATGTCCGGGCTCACTTGGACTTTATACCAGGGATTTACAATTGTACACTTACAGTTGAAGAATTCATGCATTACTTGTTAAATGAGCAGTAAAAAATCTTAAAATAGAATTTGATGAGGTGTTAAAGACAAAGATTTACAATTGGACGCTCACATGGACGAGAGGATGAGAAGAAAAGACATGAGTACAAAAAATTGCATGTCGTTCGACATGTACCAGCTCCAGGACATGCACTGAAAACAAGACAAGTAATTAATAAAGAACCACATGTCATTAATTGTGAAATACTAAAGTTCGAAAATTAATATTCAATGGAATATATTTGTGAGACTACATACCATAGTGTCTGTGCCGAATAAATTATTAATGTATAGTAAATTACGCCACCAATACTTTGCGCAGATTTCCTGGGGCCTTTCGCTCATATAAAATTGTGACGTTTTTGCGTACCAGGCTGAATTAATTTCCAAGATCCCAATCGTCAGCATATAAGTTGGTGTTAACCTTAAAATTGGAATTTTTTTATTAATTTTTTTCTTGTTTTGCAATATATCAGCCAATGTATAAAATTTTTATTATTATTCTTTGTCGAATACCTTAGAAATCTTCTCAGCACCGGTATACAAAATTCAGCCAGTTTTAACAAATAATTGGCTGACTTTTTCTCCTCTTTCCCTTTTTTGCCATTCAAATATAAATATGCAACAAGAAATCCACTTAGGAAAAAGAATGTGTCCACTGATAATGTCGAATTGCTAATTATTTGTTCCCCGAGTCCTTCTGACATTCGCCATGCAATTGCCTTGTTATCTGATAATTAAACGAAAAAATATTGTCTTGACGACTTATTATTGCTGTTTAGCACTTACTGGCACATGTTAAGTATATTTTTAAATTGATCTTACTTGCGTAATCGCTACTGTAAAACACTGTATGTATCATTATGATCCAAACCATTCCGAGAAATCGTATACCATGTATCTGTGGTACAGAATCATTGGACAACTTTGTATTGAAAATAGTCTTTGTGTTTTTGTAGATGGAGAAGCACAGCATTATATTTACAAAAGTATTCTGTCGTTCTATTCGCGATCTGTACATTTCTGAGGTTTGCAGTGTATGCTTGATGGCTGTATATTGAACAATAATTTTTTTTACTTACAATCGGTATCATTTATATTTAAACATTCAAATGTACCTTCTACGTCAGACGTATTGTTATTCTCGATACGATTAGTCCTATTTTTATTCTTTATTCTTCGTGTGATCAATATCTCGTATACCGTTCCGACTATCATCAGGGACCAAAGTAATAACAAAATAAATCTGAAAAAGATAAAAAGAATGAAAAAAAGAATTTATCAATATATATTATTCTACTTAAAAACTTATGTCTAATATTTGAACGTACCCAATAAAAATATATTTGCTATTCATCAGCCATTTATAATCATTTCTCAGATGTTTCACTTCGATAAGTTTAAAATCTCCCGCGTGTCTTTCACCGACTTGAAGAGTCCTCTCTTGGAACATTCTTTCCAGTATGAAACTTAATTCATCCGTAGAGCAGGAAGCAGGTAAGCACAATCCCAATGTAATTAGATCCTAATAAGTAAAATTCTACAAAATATTATTCATCGGAATTCATTAAAGCTGGTAAAACAGAGTAAAATTATTTGACTCGCCTCGTTCAACAATCGTACGTGATATTGAAGGGTGCTGTTGTGCCTAAAGTACGCCACGAAGTAATTAATTTCGAAAGGTGGAAACTCATCGTGAATTTTACGGTATATCGAATTGTTTTGCAGTTCACGCTCCGCCAAAGGAAACGGAATTCTATTAGTTGTGTCTCGACACTGGGTTTTACTTCCTAACCAGTAATTGTTCCCATAGAAAAATCCAGAATCTGGCGCGCCGCTTGAATCCAGCACTGCAACAGTCGGTACATTCTTTTTGTTTGTATTTTGACGAAATCTTTGAAAAATTTTGCATGTACCATAAAATGTCGTCTTATTTGTACTTTCTCTGACGTATACTTGAATTCTCGCAAACATTGAATAACAATAATTTCCTAACTTACCAAAATTAGCATGTAAATATTCATTACGTTTAAGATCTGTTGTAATAATTATTAATGGTATATCACACTGCGACGCCTTTTGCTTTCTTATTTCGTATGCAAATATATAACAAACCTATGTAAGCGCGTTGAGTTTATTGAGATTTATAGATCAAAATTATCTTTTCCTTGGCTTTGGATAATTGTTAATCCCGTTAATGCGTTAGGCGCTAATGAACAAATATTTGTGTCGCCTTTTGCATTTTTTGATAGCATAATATAAATGCAGCTTTCAAAATAGTTTAATATACATATCAGTACTTCCATGTGCTTTTCCCCGGGACAAAACTAGTTTCTTGTGTAATCAGATGAATGCGCGAAAGTCAATCTCGTTTCAGTAAAATCTACACAGACTTAAACGATGACATACGAGACTTGAGTATTACGCAAATTTTAAATTTAGGACACATATTCATTCAAAACACTCTATGGTGATTTCTCCACTAAAACGGAAATATGTTAATCAGGATGGTAGTAGGTTATTTAACATATATATATATATATATTATTATTAATATTATTATGGGACCCCTCTTTTGTATGACATGACAAATAATTCGGTTCAATATTAATTTTGTAGTGTATTTGACATAAGTTGCCTAGATATAGAAATTAGTACTCATAAAATTTATTTAGATAAACTTATATCATTCTATGAATGATTGAACGATTTTTATAAAATGTTGATATACTGTTTTCTGTGTTCTTAGTTTTTTAACTTACTTTTCAATCCCCATAATTTGTGGGAATTCACTGCCTTCATAAATATATTCAGCTGTGTTTCACAATCCGTGGAATTTAGAAGTTCAGATTTCAATGCAACCGCATAAGCCGGTAACGTCCTTTTCAAAAGTTCCTCCGAACCGATTGCATTTTGTACTATCACAGGAATCAGAAGTAACACTAATAGCTCCATTATGTGTTGTTTATTGTTATCTAAAAATTAATGGGTTATTTTATAGTACTTCTTTCTACAAGGTAGCCTACGTAACGCATTAAAAGTGATTTTCTCGAAAAATTTAAAGAGCAATGAAATATCCTTGACATAAAAGTGGCATGGTTTCACGAGCGGCAACAAATGCGCGTAGCGAAATATTTTAGTCCTTTTTTCAGATAGTAACAAAATCACGTTTTTCTTATAAATATAATCGGATAGGAAATCTCACATATTCGAAAAATGCCTGTCAACCCGATAAAATTGATCAACAATATTTTTTCTTACAAATTCACAAATTAATTTTATTCAATATTGATAGTAACGTATCCTTATTTCCAAAAATGGTGTAAATCCTTTTATCCCTTTTCCTCGGACGTACGATAGGATATACGTAGATGCGGAAGTGCATCTCCTTCAATCTTTTTTTTGTTTTGAAAGTTGTAGCCATTGCTTTATCACTTAATAAAATCTGACAAAAAATCTAAAGAATTGATATTCTAAAAGTGAATATACCGAGGAAAGATTTTTCAGATAAATTTGAGCAGCTTTGATAAGGACTATCCTTATAAGAAGTTCCTACCCTATTTTACATGAAAAAAACACAAGATATTGATACTTTCCGAAGAAACATATAATAATAATAATAATAATAATAATAATAATATTCAGCTTTGGGCATTCTTTGTCACATAAAAAAGTAAAAATATTTTATCTCCGACATTTTTGTATCTCTTACATTTTGAAAAAAAATATCTTTCCTATCACTTAATGCGAATCACCCTGTATAACTTTAAAACACACACTTCACCATCCAGTTTACTTGAATTACATTCTTTTGAAATTTTATTTAGTAACTTTTTCTAATTTATTGCTACTTCATGAATCTTTCAGGATGTTCTCCTTTTTTTTCTCAAAATCTTATGCTAGCTCCTTTTGTTTTAAGTGCCGAACAACCGAAAGAATCTGTGTCTAAGAAAGGACTGTGACTCGGAATTTCTCACAGAATCCAAGAGAAAACCGATAGCGGGCCCCACCAAGTACCATCGTTATATGATTTGCGTAATACCGTGGGACTTTTGTGTATACATATATTTACCCCACGCTTACTATATATTAATCCACATATATAATATCGCATTTATCCTGAGGAACGAAAAATAAATCGTAAAATATGCAAAATGGAAATTCTAGATATTTCATTTTTATTAATAGTACAGGATACGAAGATATTTTTTTACTCGTTACAAAATGTTATGCTGAACTTGAAGATGCAAAACATTCCTTTAAATAATACAGAAGAATATTTAAAAGACTTATTTTTATAGACCACATAACCAATTCTTTTCGTACACTATAGACTTCAATACAGTTTATTGTTATCGATATGCATCGCCATCACGCTTGTACGTATATATTATACATATATTATTTTAAAATTCGAATAAAAAAGTACTATAGACTATTATTTATCACGCTAATTCTTAGACGTCTTTAATAGTATATGCATATATTTTTGAAAGGACCCTTTAGCAAATAGACTTGCACAGCACGCAAAATAACCAAAGCCGCCCCACTTTGTTACATTCACTATTTTGCATATGTGATACAATTAGGCAGTATAGGTCACCTGGTATAAGTTTAGCCCGAAGGGGAGCTAGAGGGTTTATTATAAACCAAAGTCGACCTTTGAGAACGACTAAAAAGATTGCGCAATTGAATTGTAAAAGTCCATTAGAAAAAACTCCTTCCAAGAAATGGGAATCTAAGTGAAATCAAAGGGTTGAGAATATAAGGACAAGAATGACGTTAAACAGTGGTTAGGAATTTTGCGGATCATTCGATTCCTCTGCTGATGTATTATGTCATATAAAGCTTAAAAAGGTGGACATAAATAGTACGATGCGTTATGATACTATGGAATGTCTTTGTATTATATGTATATAGGTTTGGACTTCCTCTTCAATTATGCAATCGATTTTCACCGAGTTAATCCTTTTTATCCTTTTTTATTACATTTATGTAACTACTTTGATTACTTGTTATATCAGATACGTATAATGTAAATGTACTATTCTGTAACCAGTTGTTATGATACGTACTGAATTTTTGGGTAATTCAAGAAATTATACTTTTAGGATCTGACTGGATTAATGTATACTGCATATTATATAGTCTGTATATAAATTAATGTGTTTTTTGATAGATTGTCTATTATAATAAACGTATGCATATCCTTTGCTTTGACATAAATTGGTTTTTGTTTAAAAAATACTGAGGTATCACTAAAAAAGGTAATGATAGCTTTGGACGTATCATGTAATTTATATCTTGCTACTATATCATGCTACAGTAACGAGACAAAATAATGTTTGAGCTAACTAAGTGAGCTCCTCCTTGTGAAAGTTGCTCTGTAGTGTGTATACTGTATTCCATTGATAGCCTGAAACCGGATATTACGTATATACCGATATCTGTGCGTTGGAGAAAGTAAACTTTGTCCTCTTCCTGGTTTTTAAATTCTCTTCTGCTGCATCCTTTTGCATTGACAGTTAATTTGGTCTGCCGTATCCTATGTAGGTAACGTGCTTTTCCAATACTCGTTAACTTGGCTGAATAAAAGGGCAGAGCTTATAGAAATTTTATCTAAGAGAGCAATTCACAAAAGATAAATCGTTAATGAAGTTTATAATTTTCATATTTATTCACAGGTTTCTAGCACTGTCGGATTTAGAACAACACATGCGCATACAACCTAAAACAAAATGTTGTAGGGATAATTGGGCAAGATCATGAAGACTAGAGCAGTCTTCATGGGTAACATGGTCAGCACGTATAAAATGAACAAATGGTATTGGAATGTGACAGTGACTGATTTTACCCTCTCTGACCATCTTAACCCAAGTTTTCCTGTGTGTGTGTCCAAATGGCTGGGTGAACTGCATAACCAATGGAGTGGAAATTAACAGGAAAAATACGTAAATGGAAAAGTAACATTTACAACTGTTGAGGAATTCTAATTGAAAAGTTTTGCATTGGCGTCTGTAAAATTTGTTTAATACCATCATGATAATACGATCACATGATTGCAACGGTTCTGCCTCAAGGCAAATCTGTTTGCCCTTTCTTAAGAGTCAAATCTTGGAAAAAATTTCCGATACGTCAGAGCAAGCTTAATTAATTACCCGAAATATACTGCAAATAATTTTTATTCATGTATGCAACTGATGACTTTTGTCAATGACGCATTTTTATCAGTTTTTTTTTCATATGGCTAGAATAATAGTAAACAGATTAAATTTTTATGTAAATTTAAAGGACATATGAAAAACATAATAGACACAATAACTACTTTCATATGTTAACCAGGGAGTCAATAGATTAGTAGTCTAAAAAGTCTATTTAACTTGTTTATTGAGATTTATTAATAAGAATAATATTTTATTTATTATCAAGATGTTATAGATAAAGGATGAGAATCAGCTACATATGTAATTGATTTGTATTCTAACCCTTATAATTCAGGAATAGTAATGTTTTGACAAAATAATGCAAAATGAAAAAGACCAATGAATAATAAACTGACAGAAAAATTCCTCTCGCTTTTGATGTCACTACACCCTGTGTTCTTATGTGTGATGTAACTATCTCAAAGACATTCCTAAAGTTTTTTTTCACTATATTATAACTTTATGTACAGCAAAATAACTATTTACACTGATATACAATTATCTTTCTCAAGTAATATTAGCTTCTTCACTTTCTTCTCTTTTTGTTGAAACTGTCTACGTATCATAAACACATTCTGGCAAGCAAAGCGTCAAAATATTTAATTATCTGCATAGTCTTCCTTAGAAGATCAGACGATTATCAGATAATCTTTTGTTAATTGGTATCCTCGTTACTGGTTGTCGGCATAGATTTAGTTCTCGGCTGCCTTACACGGACTTCACCATTGGCGTGTCTCGCCCTATGTCTTTTCATGTCGCCTAATTGTGTAAAATTAAACAAGCATATATCACAAGTGTACGGTCTTATACCATTATGAATTCTCATGTGCACGTCGAGGTGGGCTTTACGAAGGAAACGTTTGTCACATTTAGAGCACCGATGCTTACGATCCTCGATAGGAGCGTGTATTTGCATATGTGTGGTGAGATTTTGCTTGTAACTATAACAAAATTGGATTAAAACTTTTAATAAAATGTATACATATAATAATAAAGGTAATCTTGAAATTCTGCATTGATATTTACCTAAAACATTTTCCACAGTGTTCGCAGACATAATTGCCTTTTTCATGTCTTTGCACATGAGCCCATTTTGACGTGTAACTCCTACAATACAGTCAAAGTAATATGTACGTTATTAGCACAGGTTGATATTTTTGACACATGCTAATATTGTTTAACAATTACCTAAATTTCTTGTCACAAATATTACAGCCATATGGTTTCTCGCCAGTATGTATATGCTCATGGTCCAATACCGATTGGTACGTAGATAATTTTTTTCCACAGAATCGACATACATAACAGCTACTAGTGTATTGTCTTTTAGACTGTCCTCTGATCTCAGATTAAAGATCTTTAGTTTTCACTACATAACAGCTACTAGTGTATTGTCTTTTAGACTGTCCTCTGATCTCAGGTTCGAGTCCATGAATATTTTGAATGTGACTTGCAAGAGGACGAGTTCGTTCAAATACTTCTTCGCAGTGGGGACACTTGTGACCAAAATGTTTGATTCGATGTGCCCTCTTCGTTAATGAGACAACAATGGATTTATTGTTTTAATGAAAGTATAAAGATTATTTACAGAGGGGTTAATTAATTACCATGTTAGATAATCGATGAAATGTTCTTCCACAAACATCACACTGATGTGGCTTAACACCTTCATGTATGGATTGATGGTGTTCTTTAAGTCTTACATTATCTCTGAATGAACGATTACACAAAGTACATTTGTGTGTGTCCCAACACTCTGGATCATGCACCTGCAAATTAAGAATTTCTAAGTATTTTCTATTTATGTTTTGGCTTTGTCATAATAATATGTATTCACATATTATACTCACATTTCTATGCTTTTGATAGAATTCTTTATCAACAAAAACCTTGGGGCAAGCAACACATTTATAAACTGTCACAGTGGGATCATCCATCATTTCCTTTTTATGTTTCTATAAAAAAAAGAAATAATAAACATCTTAAACGCCTGCTATATTACAAAAATAAAAGCGAAGTGTACAATAAATGTGTACATAAAAGCTTCTTTGAAATTTGTTCTCTTGTATTTACTCTCAAATGCCGTGTAAGCTTGTGGTTCGTCGAAAAATTGTTTTTGCAGTATTTGCACGTGTGCACGGAGAATTTTTGACGACAGACATTTTCCTCATGATTTTCCCATTGCCAGCTATTAGAGAAAAACTTGCCACACAGATCACAAACAAATTTCAGCTGAACTTTTCTGTATTTATTGTGGGATTCTCTCTTGTGGAGAAACATATCATAGACAGAATTGCATTCCGTTTGACATATAACGCATGTCATTTTTTTAGGTTGATGAACTTTTTTATGTCCCTCAAGAAGATCATCATCGTCCACAGCGACATGGCATATTTCGCAAATAACATCCAATGAATTTTCTGCAATTACTTTTTCACTTTGATTTTCTGTAGTATTCATAGTCTGTACTGGCGATGGAGGTTTTTCATTTACCAGTGGAAGGTCAAAGATATCTGAGTCTGACTCTGTTTTAGATTTTTTTGACTTGACACAAATTTTGCAAATATTAATATTGCCAGCATGCTTTGATTGTTTGTGAATTATCAATTTTGTAGAAGTCTTGAAACTTTTGTCACATAAATTGCATCGCCAATTTAATAAATGTACACTCTCTATATGATTATCAAACTGGTCCATATCTTGAAACAGCGTTAAACATAATTCACATTCTACAGGGCCCTTTAGAGCCATCTCTTTTAACTTACTGTCTATCTTAGAGGCTTGACCAGTTTTTATGGAAATATGTTGTACAGATCTTTCATTGCTATTTGAATTCGTTTCTAATTCTTCCAACTGCTTCTTTTCTGTAATTGTTCCTGGTGATTCAAATTCCTTTAATGCGATGATTTCTGATTTTTCTAAACCTTCTAATACCTTTAATGCATTGTCTGATTTTTTCAACTGTGCAAACTCAGCTCGCAACTGTGCATCTACTCTTAAACAATTAACAATCAGTTTGTAACTGAGATTTAAACAGTATAAGCATCGTTTGCAAATATATAATGGCAATTCATCCGTAGATAAAACCTAGAAGAGTATATAGTTTTTGCAATATATGTAAATAGATTTGTCATCACATATATACTGTATTAGGACTTACAATTATTGGTAGACATCTAGCAATTTTTTCTGCAATTAACATATTATTGTCTTCAAATATAGATACACAATCTATGCATTTTTGTGCACATAGACGGCAAACATTTTGAGTGTCTCTTGTTTTTGATTCAGTGAAATCTATGTTATCTGTTCCAATCACTGAAACCAAGCATTTTTAAATTAATTTTAACGATTTTAATATTATGGTCTTTTCAGTGATTCATTTTTTTAACAGTAACTTTTAACTATACCAATATTATTATGATCATCAATAGGGAGCTTCTGTGGTCCCAAAAGAGTCTCATCAACTTTCATTCCATTTTGATCCATTTTCGTAATTGTTATCCTTGGACCATATATTGTAAAAAGTGAAACTGAAAAAATAATATTATACTTGTAAAAAAGTCCCGAGGTTAGGCAATGAATTTAGGCACCCAAAGAAATTTAAATTATAGGAAACGATTACTGACTATATTTGATTAATAAAAATCTTGTAGTTTTTTATTTATAGCTTTTAATAAACCCTACATAATTCAATACATGATTCAAATTGTAAGATTTTGCCACAAAGTCAGGGTCACTAAACAGAAATGTTATTTCGAGTCACCACGAGCCACTAAATCCATAGAGTGAAAAACGTTTCACCCTTTATGGTTGTATCAGAGATCCCTTCCTTTCCTTTCCTTATGGCTGACTCCTCCAATGAGGAGATGTGCCAGATTGTATCAGAGATGAGTGGGGAGATGCACAACGCTCTGGCAGAGATCAGTGGGGAGATGCACAACGCTCCGGTTTTAGGCGATATCAAAAGCATGGCGCTAAATCGTAACGCCGAGTCCGGGAGTAGGATTTCGTGATCATCGCCTCTGTCGATGTTACAGATTTCGCGTAGCCGCCCGGGTCATGATCATCGTTCCAGCCGGTATTGCAGTCAGCGAAAATGAATAGATTGCTCGGTGGTGGGGAAAAAATTGCCGCCCCTCACAAACCGTTCTTGACAAACAGGCGGGGCAGCAAGGTCTTCAGTCCAACCGAACCCTAAACATTTGTATGGACGTAATGCGCAAACAAATGTGTATATTCAAATAAATTTCAGTTATAAAAAATGCATAGAAATATTGGTTTTCACTCTTTACCTCTTATCATGCCGAAAATGAACATTAAAAAATGAATGGCGAAATTCGTTGGTAAATGAAACGACCGAGAACAGTTCAAAGAGAAATTTTAAAATATCATAGATAAATATCAATAATAAATTTAATTTAGTATTAAACGAGCATCGTAGCTGAGTCAATAACCTGTCAAGGTTCCTCTCTTTGAACTTTTCTAGGTTGCCCAAAGTTTATTTTATTCTCTTTTTTCCCATTATTTAACGTAGCGGGTCCCCAGTAGGCCTATACTACGATCGGCCTATACTATTTTTCAAGGTTAGCGGCACTCGAAGCTGAATTATCATTTGTGTATGTACATATATTTTCATTTATTTGAACGTTAGTTTCACTGTATTCTTAATACCGTCACGTGGATCCTCTGTTATAAGAGAAATTGATCAACCGTCTGAATATATGGAATATTATAGAATAGAATATGCCTGTTCAACTAGAATCCGAATGATTAAGCTTTAAAAGTACATAGAGTCATAATGATATGAGCTAATGCTATGTTTACAACGTAGCGGGTCCCCAGTAGGCCTATACTACGATCGGCCTATACTATTTTTCAAGGTTAGCGGCACTCGAAGCTGAATTATCATTTGTGTATGTACATATATTTTCATTTATTTGAACGTTAGTTTCACTGTATTCTTAATACCGTCACGTGGATCCTCTGTTATAAGAGAAATTGATCAACCGTCTGAATATATGGAATATTATAGAATAGAATATGCCTGTTCAACTAGAATCCGAATGATTAAGCTTTAAAAGTACATAGAGTCATAATGATATGAGCTAATGCTATGTTTACCGAAGGAGTCATCCTCCATGGATATAAGTATAATGACAATTTATCATAAGAATTCTACTTTTATAGTAGGCAAGAAGAGGTAAATAAAAATTCTTATGAAATGGGCCCCTCCCGGCCCATTTCCGTGAGACACTGCCTCTCCGTGTTTTATAGTAGGCAGTACTCCAAGTGCCGTTCCTCATTGGTCAAACATTATGATTGATGTGTAAATATTGTAATTTTAAACTGGTAAAACCGAAAAACTATAAAATTTTGTAACCGAACAACTAAAAATTACGTTATTATGAATTCTATAATGATTACCAATTCTAAGGCCCTGTTTACTGTGCTTTTTAAATAAAATATTTTTTACTTTAACTGCTCAGCACCTCTATTACATAATATTATAAATTGTAGTTTAATTAAACCAACACGCGACTTTTCACAAGCGACACTTATCCTGAATCCTATTGATTGTCAAGTTATGATCAAAAAATGAACTTTCGAATGCTGCTAGTATAATTTATAACTATTGAAATTTCACTTTTATAATTTTATCGTTGATTGTTACTACATTGTTCATACCAGATAGGTATTATGCACCGAGTGATTTCAGATCGATTGACGAACGAAACATAAGCGGATCTGCATGCTGAATATATTGAGATTAAATCAACAAGTTTACAAAGAGTTGGAGACTAACAGGGACTGCAATCGATAATTCCATTCATCTTGAAAACTCCTTATTGTTAATTAGAGATTGCTGTTTATAATAACCTATTCATCAAATCTACCGTTACTTATTTCTATTTACCTTCTATTTTACTTATATGCAGCACCTTTGATAGAGGATTCCGCTTGTCTCTACCTGAAATTCATAGTTATTCAAACATGTAATTTTCTCTATTTTAATAAACTGTGCCAACACAAATATTCTTCGTGTGATAGAGTACAATTATTGTAATGTCCTTTGCGTTAAAAATGTTCGATAAAATTTTATAAAAGGAAAAAGGATGTGGAAAAATGAAAGAAGAGGTAAATAAAAATTCTTATGAAATGGGCCCCTCCCGGCCCATTTCCGTGAGACACTGCCTCTCCGTGATCCAACACCGGATCGTTGACGGGTTAACCCCTGAGCCGTAAGACCCAAGGGAAATCCCTTTCGGCGATAAGGATAAGGGCACAATCAGATAAAATTTATTATTATTAAAAAATATTAAAGTTGCGTGTAAAGGCTTTGACCAAGTCGTCTGCAAATCAAAAACACACGTAAGCCCAGCCTCCACGGACAGCGAGGTCCGTCGTACGTGTTGCGAACTGCTGTGTCACAAAGGACTGTAGGGCCTTTGAAAGGGATTGAACTGTGACAAACGTCGGCCGTAGACGCTGAACACTGGAACATGAACAAATATAAATATCGTAATAAAAGATGAAAGTGAAAAATAATCGTAGATGAAGTAAACTTGTGTGTAAAGATCTTACCTAAGCAGTCTGCAGATCAAAAGTACAAAATCTAAGTCTCTAGGACTTTTGAAAGGGCTCCAGCCTGGACTAACTTAAGTCGTTATCGCAGAACACAGATAACGAAATACGAATAAAGGTGGGAAACAATTATGGACAATAATAAATGTGTAAAGGTCCGGACCAAGCTATCTGGAGGCCAAGACCTGTTTCCTGCTTTAGTCGCAAACGCAGAACACTAAAATAAAAAGAAATAATAGTTAAATAGAGAATGACCAACAATCAAGCCCCGACCCGATACGTCCCCTGTGTCACAGGCAGCCACCTCCACTTACGTGTACTAACCCCCGAGCGCTGTAGGACTTTTGAAAGGGCTCCAGCCTGGACTAACTTAAGTCGTTATCGCAGAACACAGATAACGAAATACGAATAAAGGTGGGAAACAATTATGGACAATAATAAATGTGTAAAGGTCCGGACCAAGCTATCTGGAGGCCAAGACCTGTTTCCTGCTTTAGTCGCAAACGCAGAACACTAAAATAAAAAGAAATAATAGTTAAATAGAGAATGACCAACAATCACGAAAGACGAGACAATGTAATGGTTTGGATCAAATCGTCTGCAGGTTAGAAACACGCAATCAAGTCCAGCCTTCAACGGGCGGCGGGGTCCGTCTTACAGGTGTGCGGACTGCTGCGTCGAGGAAAACTATTGGAGTTAAAAGGGTCACAACCTGTGACCAACTTTAAGCACTTTCGGATGCTTTGGTCGCAAACACAAAACACCGGAAATGGGAGCCAGACTAAAAATCGCGATCACTCCTAGCCGAGTCGACCGCAACGAATCACAAGGACCCAGAAACCAACCGAAGTCGGAAGATCTGCTAAAGATAAAATACAATTAAAATGGTGGGCTAGTGCTGAATCATATAATAAGCAGATATGTAGTGACTTATGTACTTGGCATTATTAATATGATTTCAATATTTTTTGTGAGAGAAATGCACAGCACTCCTGTACTTGGCATAGTCTTTTTACACGTACTAGAACGACGCGATTGGAGGTCCGTTTGCGCTGTAGCGCTTTGAATAATTTAAATACTATTCAGCCGAATAGAAAAGCAGTAAAAAATGTCCCACAAAATTGCACTTATTGATGTTGGGTAAAAATATTTCAACAAGAGGCTTTTTCAACAGTTGTTGAGAAGTTCTATAGTTCCCGGGCTCGTTCTAAGGGTTGCTTTGGGAAACAGGGGTGAGTAGCGGAGAACCTCTACCCGCCAAGCTACGCGTCCGTGTTCCCGTTTAGCTCGGCTACGACGGGATTCGTATTGTCGACGGAGGCGTTGATCACAATGTCCTACTTCCGGACTCGCCGGTATGATTTAGCGCCACGATTTTGGTATCGCCGAAAATCGTAGCGTTGTGCTAATATATTATTTAATACCTAGTATACTATGTGCTATATTATAGCGAAGACATTATATGAAATTTTTAAAATACAATTAAAATGGTGGGCTAGTGCTGAATCATATAATAAGCAGATATGTAGTGACTTATGTACTTGGCATTATTAATATGATTTCAATATTTTTTGTGAGAGAAATGCACAGCACTCCTGTACTTGGCATAGTCTTTTTACACGTACTAGAACGACGCGATTGGAGGTCCGTTTGCGCTGTAGCGCTTTGAATAATTTAAATACTATTCAGCCGAATAGAAAAGCAGTAAAAAATGTCCCACAAAATTGCACTTATTGATGTTGGGTAAAAATATTTCAACAAGAGGCTTTTTCAACAGTTGTTGAGAAGTTCTATAGTTCCCGGGCTCGTTCTAAGGGTTGCTTTGGGAAACAGGGGTGAGTAGCGGAGAACCTCTACCCGCCAAGCTACGCGTCCGTGTTCCCGTTTAGCTCGGCTACGACGGGATTCGTATTGTCGACGGAGGCGTTGATCACAATGTCCTACTTCCGGACTCGCCGGTATGATTTAGCGCCACGATTTTGGTATCGCCGAAAATCGTAGCGTTGTGCATCTCCCTACTGATCTCTGCACACATGTACTATAGGGACGGGGTTACCCTTCCCTGGCACATCTCCTCATTGTTGGTGGCAGCCACAAGGAAAGGAAGGAAGGGTTACCCTTCCGCCTCATCCACTCAGCTTGCTCAGTGGGTTGGGCCCAAGTTGTGGTCGCGATATGGTGTCTTCGAACCTCACGACGGGGACCTTGAGCACTCTTAGGGTACGCTATGAGTCTTGCGTGCAGTCATTCTAATTAGGTGTTTATCTTTCAATGAGGTGTTTACAAGTACGGCATATTTGAGTACTTTCATATACTGGCACATCTCATTGGAGGAGGATGTCAAAAGTAAAAGAAGGTACTTTGTCACATAGGATGTAAGAGGGTGAGTGATAAATAATTGGGTAATGTAACAATAAAACAATTTATTAATTGATCTCATTTATAGAATATCGTATGTTTAAATAAAGACATGCTGACGTATTATTGAGACAGGAATCTTTTGCCTTATGCATTGTACAAAAGAAATTAAAACATTATCGTGTCTTGCATTGTCGTATAAATACAAACCACTTTGGTTATTCCTTAAGTCAGGCTATACATTTTTTATAGTACTCTGGTAGTCAAAATAGTCCTTTACAGGTAGATTATAAGTAATTACAAATAATAAATCTTAGTGCTAAGTACAGCTAATAACAATACAACAAAAGATAAACTGGATAGTTGATTTGCTGTTGATTCCATAGAATTCCTATTGCCTATCTGACTAACACAAACATTCCCACAATCCTCTCCTTCGCAGATGTCACAAAGTGTTGCAGCTTGTGGTTCATAGAATGCTCTTGCTCTCCGTGCTAATGGAAACATAGTTTATAATTAAACATGAAATTGTAGCCAAGAATGGAAAACTGTTCATTGGAAATACTTACAAGAATCATAGTAATCATAGATTGATACTGGTACTGGCTTTTGCTTAGCGACTTTGTGTGTTCTAAATGCAGATACTGTTGGGCAATATTCCTGTCTAATCATCTGTAATTATACCAATTTAATTAAAACTTTTATGATGAACGTACTGTCAATAATAGAATACTAGTTTTTTTATTTTGTTAATGATTCTTCATTTTTCATTATAAAATTATTTACCTTGTCAAAGTATAATACCACCATTGTATCTCCATTTTTGGTTTCTACACGTTTAACATTCTGTGATACTTGTAAGCTTGGAAGAGAATCCATATCCACAGTAAAACCTGAAGGTAGGCTTATTTCCATTACAGCCATATTACTCTCATTTGCTTCTTTAGTAGGTATAAATCTATTAGAAATATTCAAAAGCATATCAAATGATCCATACAAAAATATGTAAATTTAGAAAAATGTAAACTGCGTACCCTGAACAGATTGACAGTTGCAGATGATTTGCATTTGAGTTTTTGTCAACTTGTGGATCTAATGTGAATAGTGGCCATGCCCCAGTTACATTTAGATTATAACTGGAAGAAACCTGAACCAGAACAAATCCGGTTCCAGTAGCTGTTATATTAACAACTCTAGTTTTTCTTGGAAGCTAAAACAATCCCACAACATTTATACATAATTCACTTCATATAATACACGACAATATAATATCTAACAAGCTTACCACATGTTTTTGAAGAATCATGGTATTACCAGAATTAATATTCATTTGACTTTGACCTCCACCTTCGTACATAAATGTAACAGCAATGTTATTAGACTTTGTAGATAATTTTTCACCCAATTTCGCCAAGGCATAAATTCCAATTACAGTATCCTAAAAAAATATCATAATCATAATATCCAATGAAAAGCTGGAAAATTGTTTGTATTTACAAACCTGAGTGGATGCAAAACCACCTTCGCTATTTCTTTGTTTAGCCAGCCACTTCATGATTGGAATAGAGTCAGTAACCAGATTTCTTCTGAGATAAGTCAATAAATTGTATGACGACATTTCTACGTCAACTGATCTTGGCAAGGAATACCATGGATTTTTATCATCACTAGGAACAGGTTTACTCCACCACTTATCCTCATTCCCTGTTTTGGCTTTAGATTCTAATAAATTAAAAGCAACCTCCTCATATGGATGTCTTGCCAAGTTAAGAACATAAGTGCACAAACTTAATGCATAGACATCATCCAAATTATCCATGTTCTGCACAATATAATTGACACCCTTGTTAATAACATTTTTATACTCTTCATTAGAGCCCTGTAATATCAAATTCATCTTTAAATATTTGCAACTGCAACTGCGTATTTACACATTAATATTAACACCATGAAGTCTCCTCACTTTATTTTCCAAAAATGCAATAAGTGTAAATGCTGTAAGAGCAAGTCCTTTTGCAGCACCTCCTTGCATATCACGATGATTGACTCTTCCAACTTCAGGGAAACTTCCATTTACTGCTTGATTGCTGGCAAGCCATCTAAGAGCTTCATCAATTATTCTGTCCTCGATACTAACATATTCCGTTGCTTGTTTAAACGATTTTACCACAAAAGCAGTCAGCCTGAAGTTGTATATTATTGTTTAGAACCATAACAATTTCTGAGAGTGATAATTTACAAATTCATCTTTTCATTTGAAACATACCAAGTACTGCCACTGCCATCAGACATTCCAAAGGCGCTGAAGGATCCATCGTTATGCCTGTATGTCAATTCTCTTTGATAACCAATTTCTAAGTATCGCATGGCTTTACTCTGAACAGCTTGGGTCAATTGATTTGTATTCTGTAATTGGAGTATAATAATGTTAAACAATTGTCACAATAATCAATGAAATTCTTCAGGCGTATACTAATGTACAATTAGTATTACCTTGAGATAATCCAATATCACAATGTTTGGTACAAAATTCAGCATATTTTGTTCTCCACAGCCTGATGGCATTTTTATCAAATTTGCCAAGTTTGGAATGCTTGGTCCAAGAATGTCTCCTGCAATGCAAAGCATGTTATCGATGTAAATATCCACTCCAAAATTGGAACAACTGTTATTAGCTATATTTTCACACAATACAGATTCTTACCTACTGCTGAAATTTCAATGTGTTCAGAACCAGGAACAATATTTTTTGGTATATCCACTGCAATACTAGTCTGCATATTTCTTGTGGATCTCAGGTCAATGAATATAGCTTTATTTCTGTATTGTGTTTCTCCCTCTGACTGTAACATGTAATTTGTTATTAATGCAATTTCGTTTCAAAATTAACCGATTTAGCTCTAATGAATAAAGGAGTTGTCGCTCAGCTCCTACGGAATAGATAAAAGAATATAATTACTTTAACAAGCAATTTATGCTCTACACTATCACCAGCGAGTACACTACTTGCAGTTGCTTTGATAGTTATGTATCCCAAGTCTCTCGGTATAATCATAAATGATACACTGGCACCAGAATTGGCTTTAACTTCAACGACCTTCTTCCGATACAGTTCAAACTCTGTAAAAGAATCAATGGATGTCACGAATTAATATACGTGTATGAGAATATCAATTAATAACTAATTATACATACTCGGTGGCTCGTGAACTTCGTTTGAAATTTCAGCAAACTCAAACTGATTAGCATTTTCCAGTAAAACTTCAGCTGTCAAATCTTTGTCCAAATAATTGAACACTATTATTGGAATCGCTACGATTTCTCCTCTGATTACGGAATAGGGTAGATCCACCGACACAAAGAATGGTTTGAAGACCTTCAACTATTTCATTAATAGATTAATTGGTAATCGTTGCTTCATAATATTGGAATAACCTATTAATTAAAGGAAACAAACCTTTCGTGGTGCGTCCATTAAACCAAGACCATAAACAGAGTCCACAGAGAAACCAGTAAGAACCCATGAAGTTATAGTATCTGGTACTGTTCTTTTAATTACAGTAGTTCCTTCATACCTATAGCATTAAAAAAAGAGATGTTCATAAATAACAAATAAAAACAAAATAATTAAAAACTATTACATAATACAATGATGATGAAATATTACAATAGAACTATTTTTATTTTTAAAGATTCATATAATTTATTTCTATTTCAGTCCTATTTAAAAAAAAATATATGAATCTCCATTGTGATGCAATAGGTAAGATTACCTAAAACAAACTATTCTCCATGAATATAACTTGGAATAGATTAAGATTAATGATAAACTAAATAAACACTTAAACACTGTTTAATTATTTAAGTGTATCCCTTTAGAAATTACGTGTAAGCGTGCAAACAAATGAAAGTGTAGTAGATAGATACGAAGATAAATACCCTGAGGAGAGATTTGCGAAAAGCCAGGTGTTTGAGATGTCATGCATTAGGAAAATACGGGGCTTATTCCAGACAGGAGTTGGGATGCGTGAGAATGCATAAGGACCTGCCAGTGGAGGTCTTGTTACTACTCTGTATGTAACTGGTGGACCAAGGTCTGGTCGTAGTGTTGATGCTCCATGAGGTGCACCGTGTATTCTACCATCCAGGATTCCTGGTTGTCCTGTAATACAATTCTTGAGGATGTATTCAGGCTAGGAGAATTTTAAGGAACTTTGAAAAGCATAAGTAAACATTTTTTTGTTTGTCTTTCATATACGTGGATTCGACAAGCAATTCTTGTTTCCTGTTGAATTTAAACTGCATTTCTCCACTTACTTTTGTTTCATTAATCGACATTCCATTCTGAATTACTTTCCAAGTACACCTCGACATATGATGAAATGGATGTTAAAGAGGATTTCATGAAATGTTAATGAAATGGTAACCGACACCGTAAGCTTACTATATAATAGCCATCAATGTAGTTTCTGTTGCAGTAATCGAAGTCATGTGTAATATTTTCAATGAAAATATACTGGAGATATTGTATATATAGAAATAGCACAGTTTTAAAGTTTCCTATTACACCCTTTTTTAAATTTAGGGTTATTCTAGTTTAAAATCGGTTAAATGGATCGTGTTAATAATGTATAGATTGGAAATGGAAAGTGATTAACACATAGTACTAGACGATAAATGTGTAAATTCATTAAATCAATTAATTGGCATTACCCAGCGTCCAGCATTTGCCAAAGCCAGGTTTCGGTAAAATTCTTGCGTACTTTGATCTTCTCAGAGGGGAATGTGGTTGTACTTGAACTTGCGGCAGCGGATACCATCATCACTGCATCGAGATTAGATCTGTAGTATACTATGCATATACACAAGCCATGTTAGATTATTATAAAGTGTAAGGAATCTATTTGTACGAGCAAACTTTATTAATATATTTACTATAACACGGTACTTTGTGATTCGCGGAGTTATCATGCTGCCGTTGTATTATACATATGTATATATATGGGTCATTCCACGTCAGATGTAAAACCAAATATTTAATTTGTCTGAAAATTGTCTCCCTTGTTCTTGAGGGGGAAAAAAATGACACGTATTTTTTAATTTCAATATGATATGAAGAATTTTCGAAATATCGATTTTTTAATTAATTTATCGACTCCAATAAAACCGGTTCTTCTTTAAATGTATCGTGCATCGTCCACTTTTCGACTAAAAGCAAAGCACTGCAGGGCAAAACGTGTAATAGGGTTCACTTTAAAGTCCACGTTTTAATCGTCAAAAATTCGGTCGTTTAATAATTGTTATGCAACAATTTCTTAAACAATTTGTATTATTTCAAAAAGAGCGTCTTCAAATTGAATCATTTTTTCTGAAATTTGTTATTATAGTACAGAGAAGATTGTCTGAAAATTTGAAAGTGGACCGTTGAATATTTTTTGAAATAAAATTCATAATATGTGACCACGCTCACGATTCGCGCGAGGACGGCACTGGCGAAGCACGGATTCGAACGTGCTTCGACATTTTCGAGTTATCCCACTTTCCTTTAATGGGTTTTTCACCTAGTTCAGATGAATGATACTCAGTGAAATGTTAATAGGTTCCAGAGTAACACTGTCAAATCGAGAAATGGTCATTTACTGTAATTACAATACTGATTACATTTAATTACATATTGCAGAGCGATGAAAGTCTTGTTTATGGTAATATATTGCTGAAAAGTGCACACTTACAAAACATTAGTGACAATATCTGATTGTAAGAAACATGACTCGGTGGTTTTTTTTTTTAAGCATATAACGATTATCTCTCAAACTTTCATCCAATAACAAAGAATTGTATTTATTTTTCTGATGGAGCCCCTCAACAATTCCAAAAAATTCGAAACACTTTTCAACAATATATAGCCATAAACAAGACTTTGATCGCTCTGCAATATGGCATTTCCAAGTCACAGCTCACGGCAGGGGTCCTTGTGATGGGGCGGGTAGAGCTTTAAAAAGATAAGCAAGGAAAGCCAGTCTTCAAAGATCTTCGAATGACCAAATAACGACCCCATTGAAGTTCTATGAATGGGTCCACCTCGATTCTACGTTATCTAATATCTCTGTTGCCTACGAAACCGAGAAATTTTACGATGAAGCAGCTAATTTTGTTAAAAAATGTTTTGACGATTGTAAAACGATACCAGATACACAAAAAATACACTGTGTTAAACCAGTTGGGGATCGCGAATTGGAAATCAAAACTTATTCTCGTTGTTCCATTTTCACAACCGTTAGTTTCTGAGGTTCACACAAGAAAAAAAAAGCAGTTTCCGAGAAAAAGATTTAAAAAAGTCTAAAATAATTCAATAATATAATTTTCTGTATTATTGTATGTAAATCAGTATTGTAATTAAAGTAAATGACCATTTCTCGATTTGACAGTGTTACTCTGGAACCTATTAACATTTCACTGAGTATCATTCATCTGAACTAGGTGAAAAACCCACTAAAGGAAAGTGGGATAACTCAAAAATGTCGAAGCACGTTCAAATCCGTGCTTCGCCAGTGCCGTCCTCGCGCGAATCGTGAGCGCGGTTACATATTATGAATTTTATTTAAAAAAATATTCAACGGTCCACTTTCAAATTTTCAGACAATCTTCTCTGTACTATAATAACAAATTACAGAAACAATGATTCAATTTGAAGACCCTCTTTTTGAAATAATACAAATTGTTTAAGAAATTGTTGCATAACAATTATTAAACGACCGAATTTTTGACGATTAAAACGTGGACTTTAAAGTGAACCCTATTGCACGTTTTGCCCTGCAGTGCTTTACTTTTAGTCGAAAAGTGGACGATGCACGATACATTTAAAAAAGAACGGGTTTTATTGGAGTCGATAAATTAATTAAAAAATCGATATTTCGAAAATTCTTCATATCATATTGAAATAAAAAAATACGTGTCACTTTTTTTCCTCTCAAGAACAAGGGGAACAATTTTCATGAAAATTGAAAATTTGGTTTCAAATCTGACGTGGAATGACCCATATATTTTATCCCCTTGACGTTTCATGTCTCATTTTACATAGAAATGAACTTTCAAATTCCAGATTCTGATTCATTCACATTTATTTAGGAGAGTCAGTTCGAAAGTATCAAATCATTAGTGGTTACTTCAATCTTATTAATTGCAAGCATATGGAGATTGGATAGAACTAGAAACTTGAAAATCCGTTAATATGAAGACGACATGGAACGTTACAGGAGTATACATATAGAGTGCAGCATATTATTAGGTTAATGAAAATGTTTGTACAATAATCTTGAGGATTTGATGATATGCATAATTTTTTGGCAATATTAATTAATAACAATTGTTTTTGGGCATAAACTTTTGTAATTTGTCGAATCCGGTCGCGTTCTAAATAATTTTACACTCATACTTTTCTACTCTTGTAATGGATTTCGTTTAAATATTTTGACATTAAGCTGCACCCTATGTTCTTCAGAGAAGATAATGGTTTAATTATTTTACTACGACGTGTTTTCTATTAGAATTAAGGAGGAGCTCTGCAATACATTTGATTAACGCTAATTGCAAAATGTAGGCATGATGTTATTAGTCGTTAACTCCATCGAGTGCACCTCGAAAGTTTTTACTAAATACTGTTGAATTTAATTTTTCTTTTTTTTCTTTTTAATTTGCGTTTTGGTTGCTGTTTGTTTTTAATACTTACGTATGGGGAAGTTCTTGTGTACATAACCATTCGTAAATATTACTGCTCCAGTTTTCTGTAAATTAATTAATAATTTATTATTAAACTCCTTATATCATCTCTAATTTAACGTGAATGTGTTTCAGTGCTTACATCGAATACATCCTGAGCTGTTGCTGATCCAGGACGCCAAAATGATCTGTCAGAGAACACATCGTCGTATGGAGATTCGGAAACAGTATCGTAGGACTTAAGTTCTTTCTCTACTTGTTCCTGTAAATAAAAATTGTCAAGATTGCAAACATATTTTTTGTACGTGTATATCTCTAATTTTACGTCATACTCACATATGATATGTCATTGCCGGATTTTAATAAAATCGAACTTTGATCGACACCCAGTATACCAACGTATGAATTCTGTTTTGATGTAATGGTGAGATCAACATTTTCACCAGGTGCGGTTTGTTCCGAAGAGACTTTAATGTCAACCTAATTGACCCATAATTGTTAAGTAATCTTGTAAATTTTATTAATTAATATGTGTATTTTAATATTACTTACGAAATTTTGAAGAGTTCCTTCCAAATTAACATCCAATGCGTCGGCAACGACTTCTCCGTCGTCCTTTACGTAATAAACTAATACGTGCGCAGTGGGTGCCATTACGAACGTCGCAAGAAATCTAAGAAAGAATAATGAGTAAAATTTCGAAATACGACTATTGCAACGAAAAAAAAACCAAATAAGACTAACTTAAACGTCGCTGTATGCTTATCGGGTACTTGTATAGAAGCAGCATACAAAATATCACCACGTCCAAAAACCTCGTAACTCAAATATTTAAGAGGTGCTGTAGAATTAACAGCAATTTCCACATCATCATTTACCTAACAAAATAAATATAAATTACGAAAAAAAACAAAAAAACATTTGACATACGTGGCAAACTTACCATAGGTTTGTCTGTCTTCAGAGTAGCCTGAATATAAGTGTTACTGGGAGACATAGCTTGATTTGTCGCGGGGAACCATTCGTGAAGATTTAAATATTCCGCCTGTGAATAAATAACGTTAAAGAATTACGAATCTGTCTTACAATTGAAACACCATTAACTTCTCATACCTTAATATTGAGCGGAGCCGAATCACTTTCGTTATTCAACGGCGGATAAAAATCAAGTTGAATCATTCCATTGGAATCTAATTTACGTGTTATATTACTATAGGCAGATTGATTGTAAGTATATCCATATGAAATCTTCACTGGATTAGTAGGGTCTCTAACTGGCGATCCATCGTGATATGCTAATTGGATCTAAAAATAACAAGTATTAATTTAAATTCTGTACAACATTACAAAGAGTCCGGATTGCTGCGTTCGCTACATTATATTCCATCCATACGTACAAAAGCTGTATACTTTAAACCAGGCTTGTAATACTCAGATGTCTTGATGAGTTTCATTGTGTACTTGTGTTTATGCAAAGTCAGTTGCATTGATGTATTTTGTCTACGACCTGTCAGCGCTTCCTCCACAGCTACGTCCAATTGAACGGGCCTCTCGTACTCATCGGTCAATCTTTACAAAATGAAATTGCAGTCAAAGCCAAGCTCCACCAATTTCCATTATTAATAAATATTCTTTTTATCCATTGTGGATTTTCATAATACGCACCGTAACTCTGTGGCTATGTCAAAGTCTACCGTTACTTTCCCATCGATGGGAACAACTTTTCTTACTGGTGTTCGGAAAATTGGTTGGATGAGACCAGAGAATATATCTGGATAAGCGGTTATAGTAGCTTCACCTTTTACAGCCTTGCCATAAGTATATCTATGTAAGCGTAATAAATAATATGTAAAATACGTTATATCTCTGGATTGTATTCTTATGTGGATATTTTATAGAGTTTACTCACTTGGCATAAACTGTTGCCGTGACTTTGGAATCTTTGAATGTTCCGTGTTTAGGTGCTTCGATGGTTACTTCAAATTTAGGAAGAACGTATTCGGCCACCTGGAACTCCTTTTCGAAAGTTTGATCCACCACATTCGTGACGATTTTCCAGTTGCCCAGAACCGGCGATTCGGATAGTTCCAATTCGCCGGTAAAAACACCGCGACTTATAGATGGGCGTCTCCATTGTTTTATACGGTTACCATTTCCGTCCTGCATATAAATAGACACGTTAAAAATGTTGCAATAAATTGATACGAAATCTACTGAATATTTGAAAAGAGTCTACAAACCGTTATATGGATTTCCATATCTCTGGTAATGGCAGGTCTTAACCTGGAGTCCAGTATTATACAACGGAAAAGTACTTTGTTACCCGGTTTATAAATAGCACGATCGGTTTGAATAAAAACGGAGTAACTTTTGTGGATGTACTGCAGATCCGTAGAATTTACAAATTCTATACCAGTCACTCCTCGTGCCACGAGTTTATATTGACCAGGACTGGTATCACCGATCTGTTCGTAAATTACAATTATTTTATTAGCTCCATTACTGAAACGATGAAATTTATAATTAAATTTCATTTTTCAAACACTTTTCTTTACCTCGAGTTTTATAATGCTCGTAGAGTACGGCTCTACCGTAGCGGATTGATATACATTAAAGTGATCTCCATTATCCAAATTTCCATCAACTTCCACAGCAACTGTAATAGGACTTGGCGTTCCTGTATTGCTTATTGCCACGTGATACTGTGAATTCGGTCGTACGATTTCCGGAGCAATTACTGTGTAGTACCTTATAATAAAGAAACATGTATATTTTACTTTTAATATATCATGAATAAATATATGGATATATGAGTACACAACATGACCATAGTAGCATCGGTATATCGATTTAAGAATATGGATGAGTATATACTATATAGGTATATCGATAATAATTAATTTTACATACTGTGTTGACATTCCATGTGTTATTACACAGAATAACAGTAATATTGGGGGCCACAATGAATCCATTCTACGTCAAAAATCCTGCAATAAACAATACATTATTCATTTGCAAGTCATTAGACTGTCATGTGAAACAAATGCGTCACTCAAAACTCGGTAAATACCAAACAAGTCAAATGGTATCGACAGAATTTTTTCAGTGATAAATAAATCAAATCAATTTCCATTAACAAGAGTTTGTTCAGCTGGTTCACGATCCTTGATATTCGCAGATAAGAAAGTTTTTAATAAATCTACCGTTTTAACTTATTATTTCTACCAACTAGTTATCGCCAAATTTTGCGTTACTTTCAGTTCCGTTAAAAGGTCAAAACGTATACTAAATTTCGCATTATGCAACGGGTCGAGTGACGTGTGTCTAATGTAAATCTGTTATTAGATACATGATTCGCCTCGCATAGAAAATATTTACCCTGTGATCCACTCTTAAGTGGATCAACTTGCAACAATAGAAATCTCGGAGGACCGTTAAACTTTTTTCTCACTAGCTACTGTACTGTACTTCTGGACAATCGTGGCTTATACGTATGTAGTTTCTATATGTATATACATAGCTTCTTCACCTTTTCTTGTAGCGCTTGAATGCTCGTCATCATTTAATTACATATGTATAAGATAACTAGGTTCTTATATTATGAAAATAAAATTAAAAGGATCGATGCTAATATGAGATTCGAAAAATACTTTAGCCTTGTAAGTATTTCTGTTTCTGGTTTGTTAAATAAATTATTTTTTCATATGCATCATCGGTTCGTAGAATGACTGACTTTGGAGTATGTGTCATATGTTTGCAATGCCCGGGTATGGGATGTGAAAGCATCTGTATGTAGAGCTCTACCGGGATCCATTAATTTTTTTTAATTTTCGAAGTTTCTATTTAATGCCAATGGCGGCTTATTAGCTAAATTCAAATAAACTGTATACAGTAATGTGCAATTGAAGTTGAACACTTCAATTTTTTTGTATTTCTGCGAAATTATGACTGATTTCAAAAAACCAAAGACGTATTTTTTAGGAAATTTTCTTCCCGTTCGAATGGTAAAGGTTTTATCCCGATTGGATACAAAATGGCTGAACGGCAGGGGTTCGAGTTAAATAATGCATTTTGGGACTTTTTGAAAAGTGCGAGAACTTCAGTTCAGAAGTGGAAGGAAATTCATATTTCTAATTATGGCACGAGAAAAAGCATCCTTCGGCATTAAAAAAACACTCCCGTCGAACCCCTGTAGCATCACTCGAGGGGGAGCTACACCTTCTTCAAGTGAAACACTTAATTGACCATACTTCCGAATGCGGCGGTCAATCTGGTCCAGTTTCTGCGTGATATCATCTTTAATGATACTGCAGATTCTCACAAAATTATTGTTCTCGGAGATGATCCCATGACGGAGATCTCAAGATGTCGCAAGCGCACTCGAAGCTTCCCCGCCATTTTTCATTAGGAATGCGATGGAATAGAAGTTTCATATCTGTTCCACGTCGTAGCTGAGATTTCAACGATTAAAACGCGCTTTTAAACATTCAAAAATGAGTTCGCTAAGGGGTTAAATTTTTCATTTGAAAAAACACCTAAATTTTGCGAGTGTCGCTCGAGATACTCGGGTGACAATCGCTTGACGCGCGTAGTAGGGTAGTAGTATTAAAGATGATACCACGCAGAAACTGAACCAGATTGGCCGGTGCGTTCGGAAGTTATGGACAATTAAGTATTTTCACTTTAAGGGGGTGTAGCTTCCCCTAGAGTGATGCTACAGGGGTTCAATGGGGGTGTTTTTTGAATGTCGAAGGATGCTCTCTCTCGTGCCATAATTAGAAATATGAATTTCCTTCCACTTCTGAACTGAAGTTCTCGCACTTTTCAAAAAGTCCCAAAATGCATTATTTAACTCGAACCCCTGCCGTTCAGCCATTTTGTATCCAATCGGGATAAAACCTTTACCAAAAAAAGTCCCAAAATGCGTGTTTTTTGAATGTCGAAGGATGCTCTCTCTCGTGCCATAATTAGAAATATGAATTTCCTTCCGGAACTACTAGTTCTCGCACTTTTAAAAAAGTCCCAAAATGCACTATTTCACTCCAACCCCTGACGTTCAGCCATTTTGTATCCGATCGGGATAAAACCTTTACCATTCTGCTTCTGACTATTTTTAATTAATTTTAATAAATTTTTCTTAAGCAGGCTAGCTACTTCAAATATAAAAACATAAACAGTACAAAATATATAATGCGCAGTAATTAATAAAAAATTTAGTACAAAAGATCTAGTTCCAATAATAAAACTGATCTATGTTTATTTGTGGAAAAGTCCATGAACCTATGACGACAAACCGGAAAGAAAGTAACGAACTGCCATTATCTCAGTAGAGCACTGTAATTACGTATTGTAATGTATAAGAAACTAGTAATGGTTTAAAAAATTACATTTTCAAATATATTATAAGCATATATGAACCTAAAAAATTATAATTCTTTTCAAATTGTAATAACATTACATTACAGCAAAAGTGCTATAACAAACAGCATTATCATAAAACTTACGTAGTTAAGAAAAAAAAAAACCAGTAGGCAATACTTTATTTAAATTTTAACCAAATAAATTTTAGATCACTGATCAATCACTGATAACGCCAAAATGCAATATTAAAAGACACATAAAACACCCACATACAAGAACCATACCCGTGTACAACAAAGATTAATTCGATAGCCACAAAAGATCAGACATCGAAAAATAAAATCCAATTTTATAGAAATATTCAGATATTATTGAACATCATAAATCAAATAGTTGACTCACCTTCCCAAGTAACTGGTACACCACGATCCGTTATTTCCACCAAGTGGAAAGAAGAATGTCCTCTTAAAAACAAAGTCACGAAAACACGTACTTCCTGTTGTTCTCTGACCCGTCACGCTTTTCAGAGTGAATTTTCTTATGATCACTGTATTAATGTAGTAAATTATATTTTCTAGGCTAGTATACTGGTCCCACTCGATACTAGCAGGGAGTGGTAGTTGACACTAGAACCGTCGATTGAACACTACCAATCAAGGTAGTGCCGGAGGAGAAACGAGAAATCCGACCTCCAACGTAAGAATATATACGACTATAGAAGCGTACGAGTCTCTTTCTATACTCTGTTAACGTTACTCCTACCACTGAGAATCCACGGTACCTACATAACTATATACCGTTATGGAATTACTATAGCGAGTCACGCTCAGTGCAACTGCAGTATAGCATCTTCATTATACTATACTATATGCGTATGTCTGACAAACCACAGGTGGTGAAGCTTTACGTGTTGCAAGTACTGTGAGATTTTGATGGGGGGCTTCAAAATGTCCTTGGGATGATGATGACGATGGCGATGATGAGTTTGGATGCGTGGGCCTAGTTATGGAATGTTACATTGTACTTATACGTATGTACACTATACCATTTTGTTCGTGCACGACACAGGTGACGCACAGCTGTTGGTAATATAATGGATTATTTTTAGCTTATATTGCTCATTTTTCTATTATACGTAGTTGAGAGAATTGGGTTGTATTTATATAATATACAAAAATTATTTTTCAGATTTTACATGAGATCAATGCAGGTTTTGAGGTTACCTGGTGATTTCAATGCCTGATCGGTTGTCATACATATTTGTTTCTATACCTGTTCGCAAGTTCCTTCGTATATGCACACTTTACTGTGCTCCCTCTCTAAGATTCACCTCTGTAGTATTCAACTTCTCCTCAATTTGAGGGGAATGTAGTTCCCTTCTCTTGCCAACAGGCGCTAATGCAAGTGTGGGGAAACACGCGGTCGTGTGCGCATATGCGCATGCGTTTCTATACTCTCGCGAAAAAATGGGGTCCTATCTTAGTCGGCAGTTCTCGGAACTTCGAGTATCGAGTCGGGAATCTCTGGAAGGAAGGAACTATACTAGTCCATTGAGTTACATCATAGTTAAAAATATTCATAAGTACTTCTGATGTAAATCCAACTTTGTAAAAAGTGCATGAGTCACATATTACAGATGGGTATAATTTCTAAAAGAATATAAATATACATATATATATATATATATATGTTGGTAGGTATAGTATCTATATTATTACGATTCTTAGAGTCTTCTCCATAATTTCGAAAATACGAACCATTAAACAAATACAAATACAAAAATGCATCTAGGTGCCATAGATTCATATGACTTGAAAAGCAAATATTATCGTCGAGAAGTTTCTATAGCTGAGATCATCCACATGCTTACTTTGTGGCGAGAATCCCCTGCAAGATCGGCAGAGTTTTTATAGGCAAAAAATGGATCCTAATGATAACAGAAAACGCTAGTTCAAAGATTATATCAGGATCGTAATGTCAGATTGTTCGTCCATAAACGAAATCGTATATCCGAAGGACGTTGGTATTAAAAATAGGAGATTTTCTAGCCTGAGAATTCTTTGGTCGTATTGCAGTACATATACAGTTAAGTATATCTATATTTATATTAAATATACGCTACAGTGCAAAAACAGGTTTTGCGTAAAGCCGGGCTGCCGACACGTTGATGCCTATAATAGAAATATTCGCCGAAGTCGAAACAAAAGGGCAAATGGAACGTAGAATCTGTACATGGATTAAAGAGAGAGAAGAAGAGAATGAAAGGAAGAAGGAAAAAAAGAATTTGTCCCAGAGCCATCCTGTTTATGATTACGTAAACGTATTGGACACCTCCGCTCTTTCCGGTCAATCCATAATAATAAAACTTTCGTGACTCTTTTTACGTAACGATATGTGTGCTATGCCGTTGGTGACAGCCTCTAACCATTTTTGAAGTTTCTTTTTAGTGGACGAAAACTCTATTCTAGGATATCAAGTAGTCGTAATTCCGGTCTTATCGTGTTGCGTGACCTTTTTGCTATGCTCATGATTACATATCTTTTCTCACTCCGTTTTATCTCGTACTTGCATTTTAATTAATTTTCGCTGCTCGTAATTATTATGTTGTATTTCTTAAATTTCCATTATATTTTTCTGCCAATCGGACAATGTGGCTCGAGCACTTTGCAAAATGATGTTTTAATCCTGCAGCATTAATTACATTACAAAACGGGTTTATCCCTCAACTATATTTTCCTTATATTCTAAGAACATTAGCTTTACTGGGAATTTACCGATTGCGTAAACAAGTCCAACACCAACAGTAAAAACAATGTTGAATTATTATTTAACGAGATACAACTATAGTTGTACAATTATTTTATTGCAAAGATTAAAGTGGATGAATACAAGTACATATATTATACTTTAGCAGTCCACATACGTCATATGAATTCATATTTTTATAATACAACATTTAATTATTATAACATCTCCTATACAGTACGAAACAATCAGATACGTTGTAAAAATATAGGAGAAACGTAAAAGTAGATTGATATGTTCCTAGGAAATGTATGAATGTTTTGTGCTGTATGGGTCCGCCATCTGCGTCATAATTGCGTGACGGTTATATGGAAATAATGATTGATTGAAGTTTATAATACCATCCACAAAAATATACCCTGTATAACTATAGCAGATTATTAACTGTCAGTGTCATCATGTATGTACAACTACGTTTACACGGCGGCGTTATTCCGGTTTATTTAGTACTAATCTAAAGGAATTGATCAATCCCAAATATTCCTTAAAAGTAGCAATGTCTGTGATTTGTCATTTTCGTTAGATCAGTACTGACTAAATCGGAATACAGTGCCGTGCAAACGTAGTCTATCACCTCAGATGAAATGGATGCTTTACAATGAACTGCTGCTTTCTGGAAAATCGAGCGTTTGTGCTCGATATCATCGTTTCGGCTAAGAATTCCGTCAGATGGCAGGGGAATCGTCATTCCCGCTAAACCATAAACTATGTATTCACAATCCACGCCGTTGGCGATCGGTCGTCAGTCTAGTGAACATGGCCGAAAACAATGGCAATAGTTTTTGAGCCAACTTTATATTCCCCTAGTACTTGTCAACAAAGAGATTACTTTTGATCAAAAACTAACCAAAACATACAATTAATTCATACGTAAGTAATGCTAATTACCATTAATCGACGTCTTATATGGATTCCTGTAGTTTACATTGCCGGGACTATCCAATACTTTCTTGACTATTAGGCAGGACAGCGGCGATTCTCAAGTCCCTTAAATTTGTCATTCTTGGTCTTGGAATTGCTTAGAGATTAATGAAATTGTTAATATCTCAACGAATATATTCGCTATTGTGTTATTCATTATTATGGGGCTTTTTCTGCAAGTGTGAGACAGGCTTCTATACTTCAGTTTCATTGTACAATGACTTCTCTAATGATGCCTTACTTGTATACTACATAATATTATATTATCGGTGGTTTTTTGACGGAAAAAAATAACAATGAGGATCTTGACATTTCTGTTTACCTAACATTATTATGAATTTTATATCCATTGCGTGGAATAGTCTAAGACATGTTATTGCTATGGAATGTACAATTCTCTATCGATTCTGTTTGATTGTCAGTTAAACTTTTCTTGGTTCTAGTTAAGATTGTTTAGCTTTTTTATGATTAATAAATATTTTAGGCAGTATTAAATTGCTAAATATATTAGTTTGAACCAAGTGCTTATATTAAACATATCATTTTTAAAATTATGTGACGTTCAATCTAGGAAAAAATTTGTATTCATATAATTTAAATATCCCATTTTTGTATGTATTAGGAATATTTTTGTAATAATATGATTTTATTTATTGTTTATTGCATTATCGTTCTTTTTGGTTAATATTAAGATTCTGTTTAAGTAAATCAGTTTGCTTGAACAGTATTAAAGTTTACATGGATCATTTTATTCATGTTGTATGAATGACTGTGTTTCTAATTTAATAGAATTTACTTAATACTTAGTAGCTTTAAAACTTTCAGTGAATTTCTATCTTAATCAACAAATATGTTTCACAATCTCAAGGTCATCTTATAAGACTACTATATGCCTTCATAAGGATTCCAGATCAATGTAAGTTTTACTAGAGTAATGGATCATTAACGAATCAATAATATTCAATACGCTATCCATAATATTATTGAACATTTGTCATTGATTTATACACCTTATAAGATAATTAGTTACTTCATGATCTAAATACATTCATTTTCACTCTTGTCGAAACTTATTACTCATTAAAGATACACAGTCACAACACCTTCATCAAAGTTGTAATGAACAATACCATAATACTATAACCACAGACAAACAAACAAAAATGTTTGTGAGCTCAATTGATTATACATGGCTGTACGGATAATATAATTATTACCATGTAAAAATGGTGACGCGTTTACACAGCAATTGCTTAAAAACATTTGCTAATTGTATGAAATGATCCAATATTTAAAATTGTAAAATAAGAATTGAATTTCATTTTGGAATGACAAGCTAAGTACTATTCAAGAATGTAATGATTATAGCAATTGACTTGTGCCGGCACACCTTGCCGTACGGCTATGTACGATCAGTCATTGTAATCTAGATTTTATGTGCAAATAATATTAACAAAACTGCCTGCCTTGTGTTTTAGGTGCATAGTATTATGGCAACTGCTATTCAGAAGAATGGCATGAAACCTTTAACGAACGGATCCCTCAATCACGTAGAGAATGTTACCAACCTCGATGGGGCCGACATATGCTCCGATACGAAGGATGTCCTCTTCGAGGAGCAGTCACAGCCACAAGTCGACGCCCCGGATATGGAGCCACCGGAAGTTGATATCATGATCAACAATGTTGTATGCAGCTTCAGCGTAAGATGCCACTTGAATTTGAGAGAAATTGCTCTCAATGGATCGAACGTGGAATACAGAAGAGAAAATGGGGTGTGTTAAAATCTATTATAGAATTTTGATAAATTTACAAAACATACAACAGCAAACTAATATCATTTTAAATGAAACGATTGCAGATGATCACTATGAAGTTAAGAAGACCGTATACGACGGCTTCTATATGGTCATCGGGTAAGATAACGTGTACCGGTGCCACCAGTGAAGATCAGGCGAAAATAGCTGCACGTCGCTTCGCCCGTTCACTTCAAAAGCTGGGGTTCAAGGTGCGATTCAATAATTTCCGAGTGGTAAATGTTCTTGGAACCTGCACGTTGCCATTCGGCATTAAGATCACATCGTTTTCGGTGCGCTACAAGGAAAATGCAGAGTATGTAATTTCTATCCAGACAAACAAAATTCTACCAAATAAAATAGGACGTATTCATTGAACTTCTTAAAAAATAAAATCTATATTTCCAGTTATGAACCGGAACTTCATCCCGGCGTTACGTATAGGCTAAAGGACCCAAAAGCGACGCTCAAAATATTCTCAACAGGAAGTGTAACAGTAACAGGTTTGTATGCTATCTCTAATTTGAGTTTGAACGGAATACATCAAGTTTTGTTGAGTTTGACACATTATTTATTCGGTTTCTTATTCCAGCTCCAAATGTAGCTGCAGTGCAGGCGGCGATTGAGCACATATTCCCACTAGTCTACGAATTCCGCAAGGAACGGTCGGCGGAGGACGCTATGTTGTTGCAGTCGAAGAAAAGAAATTCAGGAACGGGTAAGCGAAATCGGGAAGAGTTCCTACGTGATCCGGTTGCTTTGATAGACGAGGAAGGTGGCTTACCGTCGGAGGACGACGATGTCGGGAGTGACGCCAGCTGGGACTGATTTGTTTTTTCCTTTATTTTCTCATTACTCTATCCATCCTTTCCTGAGATTCTAATTTTGCTTTCCTATTCCACTTTTCCTTATTTTCTTTTTCACTCTCTATCTTGGTCCTGGTCTCAGTCTCAGTCTCGTTGTCTATCTGTCTGATATCGACCCTTGAATCTCCGGTTGATCGTGAAAGAAGTAATGAAGGAATCGAAAATAGAGACAAGTGTGTTCTTTTCGTATGCTTCTCAGTGATGGAAGAACTCATCTGACTGCTGCTGTGTGTAAACGACAAAAGCGAAAAAAGACGATATCTATGAGGAAAAACGAAAAACAGGAACACAGTGTTTCGCGATCAGAGTGACAAGTGTTAACGCGCAATTAATATTTTTTGGCAAAAAAATATATACAGAAATATAATATGAATTCTCAAGACACTAATCACATACGCGACGCGTAAATCTGTGAGAAAGGAAAAAAAGTAAGAATCGCGAGTGCTGCTGTGGAGATTTATTAAACGGCAAGAAACGAACGGAACATAATTGTTAATCGATTAAAAAATTCGAAAAGGACTCATATCGATATCGATCGAAACTGTTTCGTATCATCGACGAATTATTGTCTTCATAATAACTTCATTTTAGCAATCTCTCTCTCTCTCTCTCTCTCCCTCTCTCTCTCTCTCTCTCTCTCTCTCTCTCTCTGAAACAATAACGATCCTCAAATCTCTTGAAAATCATCCTTTTGTCCTATTCTCCCTATCACACAGTGGAGATATGCACGTCACACATTATACATATATAAATACACACTTAGACGTAACATTCATGTAGGTGTACAATTTTCATTAGTTAAAGACACCACGATGTTATCTAAAGTGAGTTATTATTAACTGTATGTTCCCTGACAAGGCTTAGTTTATTAGTTAAGTGAATGATTATTAGCAAGTTCTCGTTTTGATTAGCAAACTCTGACAAATCGAAAAAGGAGAGACGAAAAAAAGAAATGGAAACGCATTTTCGGCCTATACACCCACATGAGAATCGTCGATAAAATATCGATGACCATGCTTTCATTTTAACGCAGCATTGCAAATTTTCCTCTGTAGGATAAAATCCCCAGATCAACTCTCTAGCTTTTATCATAGTAATTAGTAAAAATCACAGTTGACACAATAGACATCTCTCTGCCATGTTTGTCCACGCTCAAGGCTACCACAACAACTACCAACTCTGAAAGATGCATGTTCCACTTTGTTTTTTTCGTGCTAATATTTTCGTGTTCTTTCGCCTGAATCCTTATCCCCCACACGATACCCAGTCCCTATCCTACTTGCCCCTTTTTTCTTCATTATTTTTTTTTTTAATGATATACTGTGCCAAAGATGGATGTTCAAAATTTGAAGCGAAGTGATTGTAGCGAACTGTGTAAAGCTAAAAATTTTGTTCATTGTAAGAATAAGTTTTACGTTCCTCTTCTAAGTCCACGCAAACTTTCATGAACTTTGAGTATCCTTTTCTCTTTCTCATCTCGTATGTATCATATCCCCTCTTTTTTATTTTCATGTTCATCTATTCAATTTCAAAATACTCTTATCTCTTCGTCTGTCCTACTGTACTTTTATTCTGTCCCATACCCTGTCCCCGCCCCCACCACTTAAATAGATACAAAAAGTATTTTATTTTAATATTTATGTTAACGAAGCTCAACGGCTGGGCTTTTTCTTCGTAAAGCTCGACGTAAATATATCAGAAATACCGAGTATAGAAGTTTATAGAGGAAACGAATAAAGGAAAGCACGAATGAGAGACAGATACGAATTCGAGAAGCATCTCCATTAGTCGCGTTTAAAGTAAAAATAAAAAAAATTATAACGTTATTGTTGATATTAAGCAATCGTGCGCGCCCGACAGAATATCTGTGCGCATCGGTTTGCATATATAAGATCTCGCATGATAATACACAGAGACTTTCATATCATCTCGTCACGCATATTTAATGTCACTTATACATTACCCTATATATTTTTTTTACGGCATTAATCCTAACTAAACGAGGTGTTCGTCCCTTAAGCCTAATTCACCTTCTCTCCAACGCACCCGTTCTTACGTCATTACGGTTTCCTTTTCATCCTAGTTCATAAAACCGTCGTTGGCTTCATCCCAATTATCAAATACAATCATTTAAAACTCCTATTTATTGTAATCATGTTAATCGTAGTAAGAGCGACAGGCCCTAAAAGTGCATGTCAATTTGAATGACATGTACAAGCGAAGGGGTCTTAATAATAATAATAATAATAATAATAATAATAATAATAATAATATAAATACTATTAATAATAATAACAACAACAACAACAAAAACCATGATAACTACCACAACAATAATAATCGTTTGAATCGCTAACAGTTGTGTCAAATGAAAACTCACGTGAATCACAGAACAATAGCGCTTATCTTTACCTTAGTAAAACTTTGTAACATAAATCCGGTCTTTCGACGAAGGATCGAGAAATCTGTTTGAACATCGAGTATTGCGCGCAGATTCGAACGATTATTCAACCGAGTCTTGATAAGGAACTCTTAATTTACGTAACGAACGTCTAAGATGTTCATCATGATTGTATTTGAAATTTTTGTAATAGCGAAGTAAACGACGAGCCACGTATATTCTTATTATCAAAATTTGTAGTACTACGTGGCCAATGTATATTTGGGCTATGGCGATTTCATTGACACGTGCAAACAAAGAAATATACTAACAAGGAAACCCCCCCAACCCGACCCCACCGATTTTAATAATTTTTTGATATGTTGTAGTACTCGACGAAATAAGAGACACGTATTTTTTTTTGTGCTGACATCCACTTTAAAGGGGTGAAAACGACCCCTGAAATTCACCCCCGAAAATCGTTTTTTTATCATATCTCGACTTCTAATTAATATTTTTTAATAAAACCAAGTGAAAATATTTGTCATAAGAAGTCGAAGATATGAGGTGTGTTTATGAGCCAAGGGGTTGCAACCCTTATTTTATATTTTGAAACAACTATATTTTTTATGCTTTTTTTCTGCATAAAAACCGGGGTATGGGCTCAAAAAAATAAAGAAAAGCGTTTCCGTTAACTCCATCAAATATTTCAGTTGGGGTGTTTCAGGATTTTTCAAAGGGATAAAAACCACCCCTAAATTTTACCCCCGAAAATTGTTTTTTATCATATGTCAGATTCTAATTGATATTTTTTAATAAAACCAAGTGGAAAATATTTGTCATAAGAAGTTGAAGATATGAGGTGTGTTTATGACCCAAGGGGTTGCAACCCTTATTTTATATTTTGAAACAACTATATTTTTTATGCTTTTTTTCTGCATAAAAACCGGGGTATGGGCTCAAAAAAATAAAGAAAAGCGTTTCCGTTAACTCCATCAAATATTTCAGTTGGGGTGTTTCAGGATTTTTCAAAGGGATAAAAACCACCCCTAAATTTTACCCCCGAAAATTGTTTTTTATCATATGTCAGATTCTAATTGATATTTTTTAATAAAACCAAGTGGAAAATATTTTTCATAAGAAGTCGAAGATATGAGGTGTGTTTATGACCCAAGGGGTTGCAACCCTTATTTTATATTTTGAAAAAATTATATTTTTTATGCTTTTTTCTGCATAAAAACCGGGGTATGGGCTCAAAAAAATAAAGAATTGGGTCATAAACACACCTCATATCTTCGACTTCTTATGAAAAATATTTTCCACTTGGTTTTATTAAAAAATATTAATTAGAAGTCGAGATATGATAAAAAAACGATTTTCGGGGGTGAATTTCAGGGGTCGTTTTCACCCCTTTAAAGTGGATGTCAGCACAAAAAAAAAGATACGTGTCGCTTATTTTGTCGAGTACTACAACATATCAAAAAATTATTGAAATCGGTGGGGTCGGGTTGGGGGTGTTTCCTTGTAAGTATAAGTATCGGCGATTGCTTATCGGGTGTCAATGAAATTGCGAGATATCGTTACGTTAATTGTGAAACGGCCTTTAATGCGTTCATCTAGCGACGACTGTTTCAGTCGGGTATGTGACAATTGTTTTTCGCGCCGAAAACCCGAGAGACCGTTATAATAACGGCGGACAATCTTATGCGGTACTAAGGACACGATCTGCGAACAAACGTATCCCCGAGCGTGCGCGTAAGCGAAAATAATTACAAAGATAAAGACGTCTCTTATTAAGCAATAGCGTCTATAATCTGGTACTCGTTGCAATTTTCGTAATAGGAAATAACGAAGAAAAGAAAAGATTTATCGTACGTCGCTCGTCTAGAATGCAGACAAAGAAAAGGTGGTCGCTCCATTGCGTCTCGTTTTCTGTCTTTAAAAAAATTGCACACGTACATACGTACGTATGATACGTGTGAAGATGCATATACGCATGTTTAAAAGTGCATGACTGATCACGAGGGCATTCTCTCCAAGAGGATGGATACCAAATACAATGCGAAATGATTTTTGATTTTTGTCATTTTTTTTTTTATTCTTTGCGTACACGCCATCGTCGGTCCAAGACTCCTCTCGTTGTCTCTTGTGCCATTGAAAGCTGTATTCTTTCAATTTTTAATATTGTTATTGTTGTTATTATCATAGTCATTATTATTATTATTATTATTTGTACTCCCGCAAGTTCCAGGGGGTCTTCGTTTCTTTTTTTTTTCCTTTTTCCAACGTTTTCCGCGTTTTCTCTTTTGATTTACTTTTGCTCTACGCCTTCCGAGAAACCATCTTTGCGTTTTATTATTACGTCGACGAACTGTTCTTACGATTATGCTAAACTCACTGCCCCTGTTGTGTCCGATCCGAAAGAAAAAGTGAACTTATATTACAATTACGTTACGACACGAGAGTACGACGGCTCGTGGACGCTTCTATTCGTACAAGTATTACATATTCATTGTCACTGCATTGCTATTAATTAAATAATGAGAATCATTTACACGAGAGATTTACAAAAATTTCATGGTCACGTAGCGAGACACGTGACGACGTCCGAAGGAAATTTTATTGAATTAATTAAATATCTAGTAGCATCGAAAGAGTGATCGTGTAAGATTGCTGTTTAATCTTTTTTTTTTTTTTTTCTTCGTTTTTGTTTAATACGAGTTTAGGGAATTTACGTAAGAATGAGAAAATGTATTTCGTTGCTCCAGCGAAGAAGCCACATTGATATGATGCTTATTATGTAACATAAATTATTGCTCACGGGGCACGTTTATTATACATTACCGAGACAACCTTACGCATGTTCCGATATGTAATTTCCTTTTAAGATCATACAGAGCGCATTGTACATAGATTATAATATTAAAGAATGCGAGCCATGGCCGAAAATCTAAGCGAACAATATTTACTGTTATGTGTAGGTAAAATGCGTACGACTTTACGATTCTGTTTCGTAAATTTAAGGGCCGCGTTTTATAATCGGTTACCGCGCTCCGGGGCGGGTAAAAGTATCGTCCAAATAGGTTGAAAATAAAAGACGGCGAGAGGTCCGAACCCGCCTCGCGCGCAGCGATCGCCAAGTTGGCGTCGCGCGTCAATGCCGACTTTTGTTAAACTCTCGACAACTTCAATAATTTTCAATTATTCGCGATCAAACTTTTCTAAAAACTTGCCCAAACGTCAAGGACCCGTATTTTTAGGATGATATTGATGAGACTTATAATGAAAAACTTCCTCGCTTGAAATGTAGAAAACACGTTTTTTTTGTCTATTTCAATATTTAACAACAATTTTGCGCTGCAACAATCTGATCATAATCATAGGCTCCGCCAATGAGTCATGAACATGTGGTTTAAATTTGCAGCGATTCGGTCTAGTACTTCTCGAGAAAACGCAGTTTCAGTTTTGAGAAACATTGATTTTTGCGTGTCATTTTAGGTGAAAAGTACGTATTTATTTTTTATCTGGAAAAGTTGTTCTGGTACAAAAAAATGGTTTCGACATAAAAGATGCGTCTGAACGAGCCTCATTCAGACATATTTTTCGTTTATCACATTTCGCACTTTTATTTTTCAACCTATTTGGACAATACTTTTACCCGCCTCCAAGCGCGGTAATCGATTATAGAACGCGGCCCTTCAATTGACGTTTTTTTTTACTCGATAAAAACTCTTTCTCTCTCTATCTCTATATTATGTCTGTCTAGCCCTTTCTCTTTTACTCCTGTGTATAATTGCATTAGGGTTACGTGCGGCGCGTACGTATATTATATTAGACGACGCGCAACACGAGACGGACAGTGTCTCGAGAAAATAAAACTGAAGTTTTTAATAGTTTTTCTTTACACGCTCGCCTTTCATTTATAATTATTTGAGGTATCGATTATACATCACTTCTGTAACATATGTAGGCTCCGTTGTCGAATCACACGATAATAGATGGAGTATATTATCGTATGACGGACTATCGTCAGGCAGTATTAATGTGAAATTCTTATTGTGTTAGGCATTAGAGATGACATTATTACCGAACGTACCATTAGGAATCTATCGGACTAAAATAGAGATCAAAAGAGAGAGGGGGTACGTACTGCGAAGACACGCGATAAATTATGATAAATAAATAAAATATGTATGTATAGTATACATATATGTATTAAAGCGTGTCCTATGTTTATGCAATAAAAAATTTTAAGGATTTTCCCCACGTGCGAACGAAACGTACGGGGAAACCATAAATCATGGATATAATACGTGAGTAAAAACTGTGTAAAGCAAATCTGTTGATCGTTTAGAGACAGAGAAAAAGAAATAATGGACGTTACTTAATAACACTCTCTGTGCCATGTGTAACATCCTTTGTTCAAACAGACTACTGCTACTACTATTACTACTATCTACTATCACTACCATTGTAACTATTATTGTTATTATTATTATTATCATCACTAAAAACAATTACTACTACATCTATTGCTACTAACTATATTGTCGCCGTTGTTGCGAGGGGATGCAGTTACGGTGTTAAGTTAAATTATATATTTCGTTACCTATCAATATTTCACGTATACGCCTGTGACTCCAATCAGGCAAACGTCACTAAACGTTAATCAAAGATCATTCTTAAGTAATTAACGAACAGTCGCGCGCGTTACAATGCTTCGAAACTAGTATTGTGTAAAAAAACAAGCCACTGATATAGGACAGTTAATGTTTAATCCGTATTACAGATTTCTTTCCTCTCTCTTTCTCTCTCTCTCTCTCTCTCTCTCTCTCTCTCTCTCCTCCCGTCATTATGTACAAATATTTTTCTTCGCGATGACAAATAATTATGAACCTCCAAGTTTATCAGCTCGTGAACTGACGCACGTGTAGAATACATTTATTTTATTTTGTTTACGCAAAATATGAATCGTGCATATGAGATCAGTTGAACGTTGCTATTATGCATCGTACGTTGTACTCTGACTTATGATTATTTATTTTAACCGTGAAAAAAAAAAGAACGATGGATCCATCTCTTTGAATCTTGGCTCGTTTCCCTTTTATGCTTTAAGTTCTAATAACAGACAGTTTTAATAATTGGTTTTACAAAATCTGCCTATACCCTCTTGAAGATTTCTTCCCTCTTTCGCGCAGTTGTTAGCATTAGGCAATCGAGATACGTGCTGTTAACACTTATTAAGAAATGTCTAAATGTTAATGGTATAGTCAATTGATGTCTTTAGGGATCATTACAAGCCGTAGAGAAGCAGAAGGGTAGAGGTGGTATATGTATATGAAAATTAAAGGTAGAAACGATTTGTCAGTTGACTTTTTGTCGGAACGAAAAAAACGAAGGAAGGAAATTTAGTAACTAGAAAGATATTTAAGCTATTCGCTCTACGTGTAATTGAAATATATGCAGATAAGATGAAGAAATATCAGCTCGAGTGAACGTTTCGTTAGATTCGCGCGATTTCGATTATCGTAGGCTAATGTAGATCGATTGTTGCTACGTAACTAACTTCGTCATTTGGGTAATTCATGGAGAAAAAAATTTAAGAAAGCAATTTATCACCCGTGTAAGCCTTAACGGTGCATTAATTAGATAACGTAGTGACTTAGGTGAAATTAACGATTAAGCTATTACTGAAAGACAAGAAAAAAAGATGTACGGGAAATCGGACATCGTAGAGGTGGAAGATTTACATTTCATTTTTTTTTTTCTATATATACGGTATATGTGTATTATATATGTATATGTACGTATAATTTTTCTTTTTCCATCCTACGTATATCAATATGTTCTCGTTAAGGGAAGTCGAGGATCCGTAAAGTGAACAAGAAGGAAATGGTATAAGATACGAGGGGGCGAATAATAAGTAATAATAACGATAATATTCGATAAGATCTCTTTACTAGACGAACGCGTACACAAGACTGTTAAGTGAGATGTAAATGACAATTTTTATGTAAATTGGAGGAAATAAAAATGAAATATTACGATTAATGTCTATCACGACGGACTTGTGTATTACGTACGTGTTTGGTACCCAAAATTACTGATATAAAGGAATTTTGAAACGTGTACGGACAAAATGAGTAAGAAAAATGGATGGATTCAAAGATGTTCTGATATGGATGTTATGCTTCAAACGCTTCTGTTTTGCGTGTCTCAAATCTTGTAAATAACGTATTATAATATGAAATCGTGTGACGGCAGCACTCTCGGTAACTGCCTACTTTCGCAACTTGTCAAACAAATAGCTATTATATTAAATAATATTGCTATATAAAATATAAATAATAAATTGCTATATTTCAATATGCATTAATGGTCGAATGCTTCCCAAAATTTACTAACTGCTGGAAAATAGTGAACTGCGACATTTATGACATCCTGGAACAGAAAGGAAGCAAGTCATATATAAATCATATTATATTATCATACTGATAATTATTTAACTTCTACTTTTATATAGTATTCTAATCCCGGTGTGTAAAAACACGAATCACTAAATTGTCTATAAAGTTATTGTCTCACAGACAAAATGAAGATACTCTTATAGATACTCCATAAAGATACTCTTTTCTTTCTTCTATTCTTAATTGCTATATTTCAATATGCATTAATGGTTGAATGCTTCCCAAAATTTACTAACTGCTGGAAAATAGTGAGCTGCGACATTTATGACATCCTGGAACAGAAAGGAAGCAAGTCATATATAAATCATATTATATTATCATACTGATAATTATTTAACTTCTACTTTTATATAGTATTCTAATCCCGGTGTGTAAAAACACGAATCACTAAATTGTCTATAAAGTTATTGTCTCACAGACAAAATGAAGATACTCTTATAGATACTCCATAAAGATACTCTTTTCTTTCTTCTATTCTTTTCGCAGAAAATTATTCGTATGCGTCAAATGTGTCTATCAATTTGATACTTTTTAAGATTCTTATATGTTATACTTATCAAATTATAATAATGAGATTATAATATCAGATACCGTCAAAATATGAAATATTAGTAAAATATTTTTTATTTAAATTCTTCAGTATTATACGGCGGATCTTTCTAGCCAATGTTCTATTACAGCGATTTTTATACCATCGCTTGTGATCAATAGAATGTCTTCCACGTATCTTGCATTACTTTCAGTGACTATAAAATATAAATAATAAATTGCTATATTTCAATATGCATTAATGGTCGAATGCTTCCCAAAATTTACTAACTGCTGGAAAATAGTGAACTGCGACATTTATGACATCCTGGAACAGAAAGGAAGCAAGTCATATATAAATCATATTATATTATCATACTGATAATTATTTAACTTCTACTTTTATATAGTATTCTAATCCCGGTGTGTAAAAACACGAATCACTAAATTGTCTATAAAGTTATTGTCTCACAGACAAAATGAAGATACTCTTATAGATACTCCATAAAGATACTCTTTTCTTTCTTCTATTCTTTTCGCAGAAAATTATTCGTATGCGTCAAATGTGTCTATCAATTTGATACTTTTTAAGATTCTTATATGTTATACTTATCAAATTATAATAATGAGATTATAATATCAGATACCGTCAAAATATGAAATATTAGTAAAATATTTTTTATTTAAATTCTTCAGTATTATACGGCGGATCTTTCTAGCCAATGTTCTATTACAGCGATTTTTATACCATCGCTTGTGATCAATAGAATGTCTTCCACGTATCTTGCATTACTTTCAGTGACAACAAATCAGCAGTTTTCAATTATGCATATGGCCGCAGGTTGGACTGCTTATCGTTGCTGTTAATGATCTAGTTGTTTTTAAATAGAATTATATTTATCGATAAATTACTTCTGTGACCCGCTGTAGACATTTTCCTATTTGTACATACGTAGTATTAGTAATCTTGACATATATCGTATATTTATTTACAGTGTTGACAGTAATAAGTAATGTGCACTGTAAAACTTGTCGCAACTTCTTGCAATAATCGATAGTAACGATACGTGTTAGCGGAAGCATATGCAAATTGCAGACTTACTTAAAACTATGCAGCATGATAGAGGAAACGTAAGTAATATTAGTTTGTATTCTTATGCATGTGAAAGAATATTATTGTATACATTTATAGTATGGACATAAAGACTATGAAAGGCTATCAAATTTGTGTAACAAATAATATTTTCAATGATTAAATCTGCATAACCATATGCAGATTGATAGGGAAGAATTTTTTAAATACAAATTGCTTTAGATGATTTTAATCTATGATGGAGCTAACTAAATTTTGTAAATTAAAATAATATTTCACTTACATTTAGCGTGGTAATTTTTAATCCTGCTGTACTTAGTGTATACTTGTATGGTAGTATAGCAAAATGATTGTTTATACTCAGCATATCATCCAAATTACATCCATGTAAATCATTTTGTGTAAGCACCGTACTCACGTATTTTACGTTCCAATTTAAATTAGTCTGATGTTGCTGTTGTATTTCTGCACGATTTCTTGCGTCTTCAAATTGTATTCGCAACACTTCTGGAATTGGCCTCCAGACACTTTCAATGTTCATCGAAGGTATTTTCTCGGGCACTAATTCAGGCTTATACGATTTAAATAATCTGAAATTTAGAAAGACTCATGGTACTATCTAGTAATGTTCTAAGTTTATTTGAACATAGCTGTATTGTGTTCGCACATACGATAATAAGGCTATAATATATTTTATCCTGCTGTACTTAGTGTATACTTGTATGGTAGTATAGCAAAATGGTTGTTTATACTCAGCATATCATCCAAATTACATCCATGTAAATTATTTTGTACACTATCCGGTAAATTGTTTAAATAATAACCTTCACTTCGGCTGCTGAAACTCTGCCAAAATTCAAGGTAAATGAAAAAGCATACATATATTCGAACTCTACAAAATTATAATTTCATCAAAATCACACAAACCTCGTTCAAAAATAAGGCGCTTGCTATGTCTTGTGCATAAATGTATGTATTTTTTTTTTCTCTGACAAACAAGTTTCTCATATTCTTGAATCGATCATTCATTTGCCGATAACTGAAATTATTTGATATCGTAAAGTTTTGATAATAAATGTTTCCTATTTTGCTCCTAAAAAAAAAATCATTACTATTTCATTGAACAAACAGTTTTTAAATAATCTGAATACCTTTTTGAAATACATTAGTTCATGATATAATTTCTCTTACCAGTTTTTCACGCTTAAGCATTGTGTAGAAAAACACCTCATAGAAAATACTTATTGTTTTTTGGTTTATAAGTTGTGCCTCCCACAAACCTGAGGCAAATTCATTTCATTAATTACAATTTTCAGAGACATTATACAGAGCAGATAGAACTCTTACCGACAAGCCATTGAAGTATCAATGTGGATACCATAAGTTTTATATCATTTAATGCTGAAAACCACCATATTATTAGTCTTTCTACTTCTTTATCAGGCATTTTGTATTTTGGTACAAGACATTTTATTATTTGCGTACACTGTCGGCCATCTATAATTGAAAATTACTTATAATTTATAACATATTGTGCTATACAATAACTTGACATACTTTTTAATAATGTTATAATATCAATGAGTAACGATATAGTCTCATCATCCAAGCCTGTGTTTCCAGCTTTTTCTTGTAAGATGGTAAGTGGCTCTGTGGAATTGAAAAATTTGCCACTTTCTGGAAAGTAAATATTATCATGTGACTTAGTTTGTATATACATACATCTATCATAATTGAAATATCTAAGAATAAAAGATACTCTTCATTTTACATGTAAATAACTGTTATTTTAAATGCAAATGAAATGACATTGCAATTTGACAAGCAAAAAGTACAAAAGGCTAGGAACAGGAATTTAAAGCTGTAGTAAAATCAGTAAGTTTAACTATCATGTAGGCATCAAGTGTCAATTACCAGAAAATTGATTTGACAATTATATTAATAATGAAATTCTATTATATATCATAATATCTGAGATAGAGAAATGTAAAACATCATGCAAACAAGTATGGGTAAATAACAAGCAAGCCTACAGGGAAAAAAGATAATTAAACGGTTGATTTTTCAGACAAATCATATAAAACACTCTTCAGTACCTTTAACTTTTTTCAGTGATTTCAAACAAATGCTCCATCTCTCGTCCTCTGACATTGTACAACACAACAGATATTACGCAAAGTTAAGAATAAACTTCTTCTTCTTGTTCCTTATGGCTTTATGTTTTCATAGAGAGACAAGTACCAGAAGAATAAACAAAAGTGACAGAATATCGTTAGTTATTTGAACTTATCCGCGTTCCAAAAGCAACGGAATCTGCAGTGAACCGCGTCTCCTTAAACTCCGTTTTCAAATAAATGACGCATAAACTAATTAGCTTAATTTCCAATGCTGCTCTAATAAAATACAATATAAAGCAAAATTGAGAGAGCGTCATTTGGTCTCGGTAAAATGCATCGAATAAATAAACAGAGAACCGACAATTCTCAAAACATTTCCGACTGATTTCCGAACACAACTATAGTGCTCCGAAACACTTAACATACTGGCCAAACAGGTCTGATGGATAGAATTTGGTTTAATAAATTAAAAAAAAAAAGATGACAGCGAACTGGTATCATCATTTGGTCTCGGTAAAATGCATCCAATAAATAAACAGAGAACCGACAATTCTCAAAACATTTCCAACTGATTTCCGAACACAACTATAGTGCTCCGAAACACTTAACACACTGGCCAAACAGGTCTGATGGATAGAATTTGGTTTAATAAATTTAAAAAAAAAGATGACAGTGAACTAGTATCACTTAATTAAAAGATGAAAAGGCAACATTATCTTTTAATTATGAGTATTATCAAATTCTACGGTACGCAACTCATCTGAACGCGCTTGTCAATGATTCAAGCAATAATCGACTGTAATATAGCGTTAATACGATAACTTCATAATCAACTCAGTGTCTGTCAACAGAGACGCGAAAGGTGGAAATCGCAGACCAACAATGCGTGAATATTCATCTAAATTTTCGGTCGCGTTAATTCTAGTGAAATTATGTGGCCGGTAAGGTTCGACATGTCGCGCGACGAGTGTAAGAAGTATTTACGTTATCTTGGTAAGGTTATGTTCTAAAATGAATCTATTTTTTAAATTTAGATTCTTAGGACAGTTGAAGCAAATCAGGATATATTAATTCTTTAATATTTAAAATAATAGTTTTGTAGATGTCTTTACGAATATACCTGATCATGCATTTTCAGGAAAATTATAATAATTTCTTTTCTATACTTCTTGTACATTATTCTTGATAATATTTATATCCATTGGTAGAGATTTATGACTCTGTTTCCTCCATAAATATTATTATGAACTATGTACTTGCATATCTTTAACAGAGTACTGCTCCTTTCTTTTTAATTTTGTTTTCTCAAAATGAAATTGTGCTTCTTTCATTTTCTTTTAAAAGGTTTAGTTGATTTACAGTTAATTTCATTATAAAACATTCTCTGCCACATTTACTGGAATTGTATATAGAATTAGATATAGTATATGATATAATATTCATTGCTTACAGTTTATTAGATAACAAATATATGTATTATTCAAAATTTATCAAAATGTATTAATTCTTAGAGAATTGGATGCTTATGGAAATATGGTGTCAGTTCTACGTGCCCAAGGATCCTTTACAGATGAAAAGCAAAAATTGTTACAGGAACTGACAAAAGTTCTACATATTTCTAATGAGAGACACCGTCCTGAAGTATGGAGAGCAGTAAATGATGAGAAGCTATCGACTATAGCTGAACAGTAAAAATTACTATAACCAAAAAGATTAATATTTTATTATTATTTACTAGATGAAAGTTGTAATATAGTATTATCTTTAATTTAGATTATATGGACCTAATACTGGAATTGATTGGGCTATTGAGGGTCGCAGAACAATTCCTTTGTGTACCTAGATTAAAGGGGCACACTTGTTTTACTGGTCTGGCTAATAGTCTATCTGTTGTGACTGCAGCTACGAATGAAAAATTACCTCTAACAAGAGAGGGAACTGAAGATATTAAAGGTATGATATTTCTCTAATAATAGTATAAGTATTCTTAAAATAATTCTCATGCAAAGAACTCCATTGGTACTTAGAAATTAATGTTAAATTTTAGTAAAAATAGAAACACAATCTCATATGGAACTGGACTTAGATGAAAAGGCAGTTAGCAGTATATTACCATTGCCTACAGAAAATCATGTGAATAGTAGAAAAAGAAAATTTTTACATGAGGTATTGATTATTGTGATATTAATATATTTATACAATTTTTAAAAAAACAAGTCATTAAATATTATGTACTTTACTACATATAGCGTTCAGATGCAGAACGGTATCCTCAATTAAATAATAATAGAACTAGTAACAGCGAATGTATGTTAATTTCTACAACATCTAGGGATCGAAAGTCGCCATCTCCATTACCTACATCATCATCTAATAAGGTATATTCCATTGTTTGAATACTTAACACAATACTTTTGGTAACTTACATAACTAAAATATTGATATTAACATATCATCACTAGGTTATAATAGTTTCTTCAAGTTCATCCTTGGATTCATCTAAGCATAATTTAAATGAAAAATCGAAAGAAAGTGTTGCTAGTATACCACGTTCTACAACTAGTGTTTCGTATCATCAAAACGTCACTATTGTTCCATTTAGTACTGCTTGTATAGGCTCAAATTCTACAGGTCAGTTCTTGATCATAATTTTAAAAAACTCATCGACTGTGTTTTTAAATATTAAACGAGTCATTGAATTATTGACAGTATCGTGTAAAGGTATAATTTCTCAAACCACAACATACAGTCATGTGCCAGCACAATCGAGTCGCAATGTGAGTACGACTGTACCAACCTATATCACATCTACTGCTAAAACTAAACCTAAAGTAATGGCGGGACAAGCAAAAATTAATCCAAGAGTGACTATATCGGCTGGTAAAACTATCCAGATGGATAATCAGGATGCGAAACCCCTTGAGAAAGGTACATTTCTTTTTACACATATTTTTCTATACTCAATTTTCTATACTGTAATTTCATATGTTGTATATGTAAAAATTTCTTGAAATATTAACAATAACAGGATTTGCTGTAGCATTGTTGAGTATTGTACTAAATCATATGCATCATACAGTTATTTTATTTAACGTAAATTTTAGGTACAAATATCATTCCTGTATCAAACACTACCTTGAAAAAATCAAGATCTGGTAATGCAAATTACGGTACGTCTTATGCCAAGAGGATAGGATCTGTAAATCATTGTAGTACAAAGCCGCTTGTGGCAACAAAATCTTTGTCAAGTAATTATTAATATTGGTTGAACACTATGATAGTGGGTATATCTTTGCTAAAGAAATAATTTGTTTTGAATATGATAGGAAATTAAGGCTAATAGAACATTTTTCTTTTGGAATTATTGTATTATACGTGTACGTTTTCGCTTTAGTATTCAGTTGGTACATCTTATGCCAAGAGGATAGGATCTGTAAATCATTGTAGTACAAAGCCGCTTGTGGCAACAAAATCTTTGTCAAGTAATTATTAATATTGGTTGAACACTATGATAGTGGGTATATCTTTGCTAAAGAAATAATTTGTTTTGAATATGATAGGAAATTAAGGCTAATAGAACATTTTTCTTTTGGAATTATTGTATTATACGTGTACGTTTTCGCTTTAGTATTCAGTTTTATGATGTGCAGCAATGCAATTTTAATCAAGCTACACTTTACATAAATTGCTTATTATATGGATTTACCTTTTATAACAAAGGATACCGATATGTGTAATAACATTATATTGTAAAAATATTTGTTTGTTAGGTGGTGGATCTCGCGGTGTGATAATTAGCTCCAGTAGAGTAGTACAGCATCTAGTGGTCCTGGACCACCTCAATTAAAATCATCAAAACCACTTTTAACTTACAAAAAACTGCCATCTACAAGAGCCACCCAGCAGCCCACTGCTAAAATGTTGCGTTTCTTCAAGCACCAAAGAGAATCACATAAAATAATGTAATGTTGCACCAATTTGGTAAATATAATTATAATTTCGACCAATCTTTCAGGGTATTACGTTAAATTCCAATAAAACATTAAACGTAAGTCCAAATCCTAATGCGAGGTTAGCAGCTAAAGCAAACGTGATAGTCGTTCAAAAAGGACCAGCACGTGGAGTGACATTGTCTCATGCTGGCAAGGTAAAACCAATTACATAAACATGGATGATGTTTCTTATTAATTACTTATAAATTATACATGCAGGAAGTCTTGGGTAAGGTCATAATGGGCGGCAAGAACTTATGCTTGCAAAACCAGCAAAGTGCTAGTTCTGTTGTTACGTCCGACGTAACGGAACCCCATTGCCCTCCCCCCTTCAGCACCCCCTCAGAACCCCACTAGCAACGGTCAAAGACCACGATAGATGTAACCGATCCTCAGCGAACATGCGTTAATTATTGTAAATCGTAGTTTACCTATATATATATATATATATATAT